CGCCAAGTACCTTCGTAGCAAAAATTTATAATTTTAAATTTATAATTTTTATTATAATTATAATTATAATAGAAGAATTTGTGATAAAATTTATAATTTAACCAAACAATTCATTTTTCATATAACCCACTAGCAGAATTTACTTGAATTAATTAGCGCTATTATTTGCTTTTCTTAGCTAAACTTTTCACAAAAATTTATAATCGCAAATGATGGAAACCTAAGAAAAAAAAACTTTCTAAGAAAAACGATGAGAATCTCGAAAAATTAAATTTTACTCTACTTGTCTCGTGATAAAAAATGATAAAAACTCATGGAAAAAATTCTGAAATTTAAATTAGCAAATTTAAATTTTATTTTTGATAATTGATTTCTTGATAATTTTTGTTTTCAACATTTACTTATTTATTATTATTTACTGTTATTGTTATTTTTATTTTAGTATTTAACTAGTAAAAATTATATATTCGATTCACGAGTGGTGCTGTTTATATTATCAGAAATAATATTATTATCAAATAAAAAAGCGGTGATAAATAATGATAAATAATGATAAATAGATAATGATAAATAATTAATCCAATGATAAATAATTAATCCAATGATAAATAATTAATAATAAGTAATCAAATAAATCATTAAATTGAATAAAGGGAATAGAAAATTGGATAACACTATCTGTAATAATGTAAAAAAAGGCTTAGCTAAGTCTTAATATTTATTATTAATATTTAATAATATTTTACTAAAATTTAAAAAATTCATTGTCTGGAATATAGCGGAAACATATAAAGAATAGCCAATGAGATTTTCAATTTTTCATTTTTTTTTCATTTTCTTTTCATTTTTCATTACATTTTTCATTTGTATTAAAATTATAAAAATATAATTGAGAACGAATTGCATAGGCTATAACATAAAATAGGACCAAAGCAATGAACTGTCATTTATTAGGAAAGTGAAATGTAAAAAGAATAAATGTAAAAAGAAAATTCGAATGATGAGAATCAAAATATAAACCACATTGCTAAATCAGTAAATATTTAATATTTATTTAATATATTTAATATTTATTTAATATGTTTGTTTACATTACTGATTCAGCTTTTTTTTTCATAATTGGTAATGATAACTTAGTGAACGAAAATACAATTAAATATTCGTAACATTGAAAGTATTTAAAAGAAGATTTCAATAATTAATTTTAGGCAATGGTGGTTTATTTCAATTATTATTTTAATTAATAAATATTTAAAATTAAAAAATGTTATAAATATTAAATGTTATAAAAATAATAATTATTTCGTAATGAATTTTTTTATTTATTATTTTTTAGTATTTCATTATTATCTTTTATTATTTTATTATATTATTATTGTTTTATTATTTTATATCTTCCACAATTTTGAAATTGTTATTGTTAATTTAATTTAAAAACACTGAATGGAGAAATTTCCATATTTATGAAAAAATTTTCTATACGAACTATGTACTGTAAAAATATTTAATGAATGAAATATTTTTTGAAAAATTTTTTAATTTTGATTCAATTAACTCGAATTTTTAATATTTTTTAAATTATATTTGAAATTTTTAAGCGAATTTGGAAAAAAATCTTAAAAAAAATTTGCTTATAAATTGCTCAAAAAAATTAAATTTTTTCTCAACGAAAAAAAAGAGATATTCTATTGGTTTTAGAAATTTTAAAGCCAAAAATTTTAACTAATTTTCATCATTATTCAACTCATCATTAATCATTTGTAATAGCTGAGAATATTATTATATTATTTTTTATTATTATTAATATTTATTAATAATATTTTATTATTAAATCTGAATTTGTTATTATTAATTATTATTGTTTATAATAAATAATGACTTCACTAATATTATCATTATTATCATTGTTGTTATTATCATTGCTCTCATTATTATCACTATTACTATTGTTGTTATTATTTATTATTATTATTATCACCGCTGGAAAAAAATTTTTTAAAAATCTTTTTAATCATTTATAATTTTTTATTGGCTATTTCTAGCTGCAATTTACAATTAAAATAAGGCGTTTGCAAATTTCTCGATCCGTAAAAATAACTGAAACAAAATTAAATTGAAATTAATAACCTCTTTTTTCTATTTTTTGTAGGAAATTTGATAAAATCTACTGATATCAAAAGAGTTACCTGCATATTGGTCGCAATTACATTCAAAAATCATTGGAATGAATAGCATAAAAAAACACGATTTCGTTTCCATAGAAAATCGAGAAAACAAGGACTGCGTTCGAGGGGAATCGAACCCCTGTCGATTGCTTGGAAGGCAACCATGCTGACCATTACACCACGAACGCACCTGTCATCGGTTCTGAAGAATTGTCCTATGAAAATTTTGCTGCAGAAAAATACTCATATAGCTGGGGGCAAAATGAGTATGAAAAATCTCTATTAAACGTGTCAGCCTAGGTTTTCATTGGTCTTTATCGCTGTTTATACCATCCATGGTATAGATTAGCAACTAACGAGATGGTGTAGAATTTTACGATTCATGATTTGGCCAAATTAGAAGAAAAAAGAAACAATTGCTGTATTGCTGACAAATATTATGCAAATGATTTTCGAGTAAATTATTCGACCTTTAAATATTTTTAAATATTAAATATTAAAATTATTAAATATTTTTATTGATAATTTTGTTATTTTTCCTATTTTTATTGATAATTTTTAACAGTTGAGAAACTTGGTTCTTTTTAAAAGTTTTCAACACCGGCATCGTATTTTTTACGCTGCTAAGTTGTTTCAGGCTTATTTCAGGCTTATTTCAGGCATATTTCAGGTCGAACGCGAAAATCTCATCGAGTTCGATTTTATTCAATTCAGTTCGATGTTTTACTCAGATGAGAATAATGTTTAATCTATCATTTATGAAATTACTTGAACTATGAAATTTTCTTTTTTTTTGGAACCTTGACGATTCGTTAAATTGGCCTTTCAAGGCATTTTTTTATAATTATAATTATTTCAATATTCGAAATTTTTAAGATTGGTTTTTGGTCAGAGTTTTCCATCGCTAACTTCTCGGACCAGGCCTTTCCAGACAGTAAAAGAAGTAAAGGTGAATCAACAGTAGGACTTTAAAAAGAGAGATTTATTCGTACCACCGGCGTTCCGAAATAAAAGCAGCAACCACTAAGCTGTTTCACCCCAACTGTAAAGTTTAAAAAATTATTGAGTAATTTTTAAGAATATTTATGAAATATTTATTTTTAGATATTTCCGTGAGTGAGATGTGTCTATAGATGTGTATATGTATCATTTTATGAATACTTTAAAAAACTTTTTTGTGGAACCAAAAATAATCTTTTCTCACCTTTGGGAACTTTAAATGATGGTGGTGAATTTGGTAATAGTGTAAATTAAGCAATTCTTTTGATCACATATATGTTATAATTTCGATTATACCACTCTTGGAAATAAAATGTAAATTTTCCTCGGATTTTCTCGATTATATTATATGCCATATTGTCACCAGTCACCAGTCACCAGTACTCTAATTTTGCTTTTAATGACAGGTTTATTACCGTTAAATGAATCGAGTTCTCGACATTTTGTCTCAGAAAAAATAAAAATTAGATTTTGTTGACTCCATCTTTTTTAGATGTTTTAATTTTTTTTATGAAGAAGTAGCTCACAAAACTATTTCTTTTTTTCTGGAAATCATGTTGTTCTTCGAGATTTATGCCTGTAATAATATGACCAATGGCATTTTTGCCTATGGCATTTAATTTTTCTCATCTTTTTCAACAAATATTTTACTACATATTTATTTTACCATATATTATTTTCCTTATCAATATTATCATTAGGAATATCTGTGCTAAAAATCGTTGTGATGCACCATTATACTTTATAATTTAAAGTTTAAATATAAAGTTTGAAGACTCAAAATAAATTTGAGATTGATGGCAAGTGGCTTCGAGTAAATCGGTAGAATTTTCTGAATTTTTGTGAATAATAGAAATAATTTTAATTTTTTTTAGATATAAATGGCCAATATATACATAAAAAAAACAAAGCGATAAAACAAATTACTCGTTTTGATTTTTATTTGCCAAAATTAAAGAGATTCTTTTGATTAGTTACTGAATGATATCTCATTTTTCTTCGTTCAACCGATCCATCATCACTGATAATATTTTCTTGCCGCGAAGACTGATCAACTAAATTTTTCTTTTTTTTTTTTAAAAATTGACACTTATTTTTAGAAAATGCAGTTCAATGCGCTAAAAATCTTATTTAATACAATTTAAAGAAAATAACATTGGCAAAATTTTAAAAATATTAAGCAAAACGATACTCAAAATTTTTCAATCTTTAGAAATCTTTAGAAATAATTGGAATGAATTACAAATCGCTACTAATTTTTAGCGAAAGCAGTCATAACGATTCATCTTTATTAGCATAATTTTTCAATTGAACCAAAGAATAGCAGCCGTAAAATCGGTCTTTTGCATTTTGCATTTGGGAACTATTGACTTGAGTTCCATGTAAATTCTGGAATTTCGCTTGCCACAACTTTTTTTCATGATTTTTAGAGTAATCGCTATTTCGCTATAATTACGTTTCTCAAGGGGAACATTGACTATCATCTCAAGCATCGTATGTGCGTGCCTCTTGAAAGAGAAAATTTTTTATATGAAAAATCTAGTGATGTTGGGGATCTATCTATATTATCTCAGAGCTCTGCCTCGTCCTATAGTGAGTTAAGCGAATCTGACTAATTGTAAATAATAACTACTAAAATGAGGTATTTAGATAGCCTTTTCGCCAAAAACCCGCTAGAAAACAAAGTTGTAGATGGTCCTCAGCAGTTCTTAACTGGATTTGTAGGCTCATTTAGCTCAAAGCTAATTCTTCTTTCTTCTTCACACTCTTAAGAGTCCTAATTTGTAATATTTGTTTGTATATTAGAATATGAACCGTTTTTAGCTTAAACTAATGCTACTGAATTTGTTGTAGCGATCTTTTCGATAACTTGAATTGTCTTGCATAAGCCATAAGCAAAATACTTCCTAATTTCAAAATATGACTGAAATAAATCATCTTAGATAAAATGAAATGCTTACACGAAGTGTCACATTCGCCTTTACGAGGTATATATGAATTTACGAATGGCACATAAATGAAATCCATAGTATCATCGTTTTCATAAAATTCACATGCAAAAATATTTCGACCACCAACTAAACCATAAACAACAGTTTTGCATCGCTAAAAATTTTCCTTATTTTTCCATTCGCTAAGAATTTTCTCATTAATTAACACAAATTTCTAATTATTAGAAAGTAAAGGCTAAAATAAATTACAAGAAATTTCAATATATGTCGCACATATTTTTAAGAATTTATATTTTGTGGTATTTGAATTTTATCAAATTGAAAGAAAGATGAAGTCTTGGCTATTTATCACTTAAGAACTATAGCGTTTAATGATCAAATAGCTTAGAACCTATTGCATTCCTCCTGAACTTGATTATAGAAAGTTTCTCACTGAAAAATAAAGATAGTCCACAATTAGCATTTAGATTATTAGCTAAAAAAATATTTATAAGCGAAATAGGTGAATTAGTCATTAATAAAAAAATATTTTTTCTTATCACTTTAGTCCTATGCATTTTAAGTTTTTTTTGTACATTAGTGGAAAATTCTATGGACAAAAAAGGCCAAGAAAGGCACTTGATTTAGTGATTTACCTTATCGCTAAGACATAGAGCTAAGCATCGATCCTCAGTTATTTCGTACGGCTCTGCAACAATTCCATATGGATTCAACGATGTTCCTTTATCTCGATCTGTATACAGTATAAAACATTTGCATAGACGACATGGATTACCAAAATGACCTTAGAAAATAAATTTAATTAAGAGTTAATTCGAATAAATTATTATTTTGCATATTGTCTTTATAATCAAATAATTATACATACGTATTATCAGGTAAGAAAATTTCACTTCAGCTCGGTTATGGCTTAGAAGCCTAGAAAGAGACAAAGAAATCATGGCTCACGAATAATATTTATAGCATTTTCATTATTCCAAAGAGATAAGCGTAATAATAATAAAACTGATTTGTGCTGATATATCCCTTAGGCAACTACATTTGCTTATTCTCATCATCTATCCACCTATTTAAATAATTTCTATTGTCCGATTTTTAAAATAAGGATGTGCGACGTAGAAATTTTCTCGTCATATTTTTTCCCAAGAAAATATTAAAATAATTAGTGATATTAAATATTTAGAAGAATTTTAAAAAAAAATACTTGATCGTTGACTCGCTAATATGACATGAATATAGAAAACAAAGAAGAATGGAAGAATCATTTACTAGGTGGAAAATTGTCTCAGTAAAATTCTCGATGATTTCTTTTGAAGAGCTCTGTAAAATAGGTTATTAAAATGTAGACCAGTTGAAAGGACAGTCAGGAAATTAGAATTGGGTCATTATATCCAACCTAAGATCCATGCATGATCGATGTATTGATTTTCGCCTAAATTGTTTATTCACAATAATTTTTTCATTGTTTCATATACATTTTTATTACGAACATATAATGAAAATGAAGGCAATATATATTAAATTATTTCTAAAAATATTATTTATTTTATTAATGTTGATTTTTTATAGAATAAAATTTTAGTTGCCTGTAAATATTTTAAATTATTTTTGTCAACGTCTTCATTTTAGCTTTCTTTAAATCCACTAGGATGAGACATTCTTAAACTTCTTACTTTGAAATTTATTGGCAATTTTTTCTTCACTTTAATTCAGTTCATAAAAAAATTTGCAATCGAATATATCGCCTTGGAAAATTTAGTTGTTTCATTCTAAAAAACCTTTCATTAATTTGTTGAGTCAAAAAAAATTGCCATGAATTTGCGTTTAAAACTGGAATTTAATTCATTCTGAATCGCGAATCGGTTCATTTAATTTGTGTAACCAAAAATGATAAACTACGGATATTTTCTTGCGCTGATCTATTAAAAATACTTCAAAAAGATTATTATTCGGAGAAATAAGAATTTGCATTTCAAGGATTACAATTAAAGCATTTTCTTTATTAATAATTTTAATAGTAATAATAATTTCTAATAAATTTTTGATAAGAAATAGTCGATAAGTACTCTCTTCACGATTTAAAGATTTCATGCAAATCATGCAAATCCAAAAAAAAAGAAAAGATTTATAAAATCCATAAAGCAATAAGATGTCGCTTGAATCCACTAGAAGAAACTTATCCATTCGTTGATTAAAATATTTCAAATTCTTTGGCACATATGAAAAAGCGTTAAGAATTTCAAATTTTTCAAAAAATCGTCTAAAAATTGGATATTCATCTGTTGCCTTTTTTTTTTCTAAAAGTGCTCAAGTCCGATACTGGTTGGAATAGCTCGCCGACCTATCGACGCAGATCAATTTTGCAAGGAATTATATGGTGGCAGAAGTAGAGATGAAATGAGCCGCTAGCATAAGTCAGTTCAAAAAAAGTTTTTTGAAAAATTGCCTCGTACAGAACTCAAGCATATACGCTTCGAAATGAGGGTACAAATTCCTCTCACTCCTCTCCAATGTCTTTATTGAAGCCATTATAAATATTTTTGCGAAATTATTGCTTCCCTCAGAATTTTATGATAAGAAATCAAAAAAGAATGCCCTATTTTTTTAAATGATCCACGTTGAAAAAAAAAGAGTTCGAAAAAATTAGCAAAAATCGAAAAAAACGAATAAAATTTATTGATAAAAACAATAACAAAAGAAAAAAGAATTAAAAATTATAAAACTTTAAAAAATTTAAATTAAAAAAAATTTTTTTATGTTAAAGAAATAAAATTTTTGAAAAATGCATTAATGAATTATTTTGAATGGTACTTTAAAAATTTTCGATAAAAAAGAAGACTTTTTGAAAATTCACAATTCACAGAACTAAATTTGCTTTTTGATGAAACGCAAGAAACGCATTTTTTATTATTATTATTCAACGAATATTCGATATTTTTTTCAATTTTTTTTTTTAAGTATAGCCAAGTGGAATAATTTTTAATAAATTTATTTTATCGCTTAAGGCAAGATTTAAATCGATGTTCAAATATTCGAATCGTTCTATTTACGATATTGCCCCTTTTATTTATAATATTTTTTAGCATAATATTTAATATATAGTTTATTAAAATTCCTATATAATTCCTATGTGTTGGAATGGGCAAACGAACATTCCTGAGCATTCCTTGGGAAATTATTTGCCTAACTAGAATTGCTGATCACTTTCTATTTCCGCATTTTGAGGAGTAATTGCTGTTGAGATTATCGTTTCGTGTAAAAAAAGTTAGAATCGTCCTTTTGGTGCGAATAGGATTTTTGTGAAGAAAAATCGAAGTTAGAGGTCTTATTTGTTCTTTTATCCATAAAATTTCTTCGATTTTAGAATTTCAAAATTTTTTGTCAAAGTCTTTGAAAATTTTTCTGATAGTTAATTTACGAAAATTTGTTAATTTATTTCTTATATTTATAGGGATTTTCTTTCGTAATTTTTTTTCGTTGTTCAAAAATATTGTTCGATTTATATTGATTAGTGTAATGCCATGGTACTTCCTGACAAAACTTTCTTCTCCGATCATAATTTGCCAGTTCGCTGTCAAAGCCAATGAAAAGAGCCTAACCATCATTTTAGTTATGCTTTATAAGAAAAACAATTACGTTATCAAATTAATTAGCATCAAAAACCATTCTGTTTTTTTTATTGGAAATATTTTTTCTCTTTTTTGAATTCATTCCATGGTTCAAAGTCATAGTTATGAAAGAATTGCTTCAGGAATCAGAATCCATTAATAAAATTTACTCGACCATTAGGAAAAAGATTGGCTCAATGGCTCAGGCCGACGCTAAGGTTCGATTCCCTACAGGACTAAACCGGTGTAATGCGATTCACCTGTATTTCTATCGCCAAGGAACTCCCTGGCATACTTGTCCAATATGATAAGCCAGTTTAACCAGTAATGGTGAGGACTCTTGAAAAAAAAAATCGTCCATTTGTGCATCAATCTTGTATAACAAACATGTAGCATAGATAAATTTAAAGCGTTCTTTTTTTTCATTTATATAATATATAATTTCTTAGATAGGTGGTAAAAATTTAGAAATAACTACTTTGAACATAATTTTGGCATTTAAAAAATATTAAGAAATTTAATCAACAAATAAACAAGTGTCCTCTTCCAAATTGGCATTCCTGGATAAATAAAATATCACTGCTGCGATAGCCATTTGCTGGCATTTTAATATACATCGGATGATTGAAAATTTCAAGCTATTTTTGGTAGTTGTTTGAGGTTTTTTAAAAGAATAATTTAAAATCATCTATGAATTATTAAATCATTTATTAAAATGTTTAATCATCGTTTTTGGATGATTTCAGATTTAAATAAAATTTTTCATGTTTATATTATTTCCATAAAACTTTGTATCGTCAAGTATTTTCATATTTAATATAAATATTTTAATATAAAAATATAAAAATATTTTTTAAACAGATTTATAGCTAATGGCATCTCTATTTTATGAGATTTGTTATATTAGATATGGGCTTATAAAATTGTACCAAAAGGTTCTTCGGTGAATGCGATAATATTATTGTTTTAAATTTTTTAATTTATAATACCATTTTTTTACTAATATGAAAATATGATTGTTGAAAAAATGGCTATTGGTCAGCAAGTCAACAAATTCACCAAAAAAATCAGTAAATTCAGTGTAAACATTTATTGTTTTTCTCTGATATATATCTGATATATGCACAATTACTTCCATTTTTCATGCTGAAAATCCAGAAAAATTGAGAACCTCATATCATACTTCGAAAATCATTCTTCTTATCAGTATTTACTCGTTTAAAAGAAATTAAATTATGTATTATCAAAGTGCTAAAAATTCTGAAAATGCTGAAAAAGGCATATATGAGATCTTTTAAAGATATAAATGGTATAACTTATAAGAGTTCATAGTCGATGACGAAACTGGCTATCCATTTAACAATTATCTTAATTATATTGTATTTTAATAATTATATTTTTTTATAGTTATAATTATATTTATATTTATATCTTAATTATAATTTCATAATTATATTTTTTTTTAAAAAAGATTGGTTTCTTTGAAAATTCAAAGAAATTTTTTCCATACCTAAACTACTAAATCGTCAATTTAGAGATCAATTTCAAGTTTCATAAATTTTCGTTTCGTATCTGCTTTATCAATGGAGAACAGTTATGGATTTCAGAATAATACTGGAAATATTCCTAAGACCCTAGAAAAAGCGCCTTAATCATGAAGCGCTCACAAAGGAAAACGTGGAATGCATGCATTTCATGAAATCATATGAGATAACTATTAATAATTCGAAATCTGGCATTAGCTAACAACACGAATATCTGATTGCCATTTGAGACTGTAAGGCTATTTACCAATTATAGTCGACATTTTGCTTATGTAGAGTGCACATTAATATCCGAAAATGTTAATTCTTCATGGTCAATAAGAATATTTTATTTATAACTTTGTTTATATCCATTTAAGCTAAAATATTTAATATGGAGAAACAATACGAAGCATCAAACGCCTTGCAATTTTTCTCCAAAATTAATTTCATTTTATTAATTTATTTAAAAAAAAAAATTTTGATGTTATCATTTTATCGTATTTTTCATAACTAAATTGTTAACTAGCGTGATAAGAATAAGAATAATATGCTAAAAGGCGAATCTCGTTACTCATTCCACAATAGGAGAAAAATTTGTCGTTTAAAGTAAAATCCGGATAGCTGCTGGCGACTCATTGTACTTATCTTATCTTGATCATTATATTCATTATATCTTTATCTCCAAGAGTTATAGGAATCATTGATAAGAAATCGAAATATTTTTCAATTAGTGAAGATTATCTATCGTATATTTAAAAAAATCGAAAAACTTAAATTATTTTCTAAAAAAATTAGACTAATGCAAGAAATAAAATTAATATTGACAATAAAATTGATAGCGGTTATGATAAATATTATCATAAGAGGAACAATATTAAGATATATAGAAAGAAATATTTAAATAATCGCATCAATATCAATATTATTATTTCTATCTCATCATCATCATCCCTTCTATCATTTTCAAGTCAAAGCAGTCGTTTTAGTTGGATATCTTTGAAGTGAATAACAGCTGTTTGAAATATTTCAAATTCATCCCTTCCCTCTTTTTACATTGAACAAAATTCGTTTATATTTTCTGATGAACGAAAATTTCGTTATTAATTCTCACAAAATTCTAATTTATTCTAGAATATTTTTATTAAAATAATAATAAATAATAATAATAATTTCACCAAAATTGTGGTGCGTGATATACAAAAAAAAAAAAAATGCATTTCATCTCTGGTCAGTTTTTTAAATTTTATCGAAATATTTTAAATTTTTATTTCATTTTTTTTCATTTTTAATGAAAATTTGAATTAAATTTTTGTAAAAATAAAATATTTCCTTTTCATAATGATAAATATTATCAAAGGAAAATATCGAGAAAATAATTTCATAATGATTTCATCATTGATTACTTAAGAAGATACAGTAGAAAGCTAGAATTGTTGAAAAATATGATTATACTATACTATCTCTCATTACTTAATACTTCAAGCAAGCGACTTTTTTTTTCACTTAACATTTATCAATTAATCAAGCAAGCAACTTTTTTTCCACTTAACATTTATCAATTGTCTTTTTTTTTATTCACTTATACGCCATCTAGGTATTATCACAATTCAACGTGTCATCATAGTTCGGATCCTTAAAAGTTAAGTATTGCGATTGTCGCATCTTTTTTCCATTATCAGTGCGACTGTCTAAATTATTATGCCAAAATTTTCTTTATTAAGCAACTATCAAAAAAATTCTTTCTAAAATTAATTCATTCATTTTATTTAGCGAAAAAAATTTTTAAAATTTTTAGAAATAAATTTGAAGATTTGATTTCAGAATTCGTTTTTGAGAAACGCTTTATTCTTGATAAATTGATAAAATCTATGAGATTTATCGCTTATTTTTCTACTATTCAATTTAGTTTAATGAAAAGTAAAGAATGGCAGTTCATTAATGTTTTGCCTTCTTTAAATCGTTGAACTAACTAAATTCTCATTTATTTTTTTATAAAAATTTTTCTCAAAAATTTTTTCTCATTGCTAATTTAACGGTTAAAATAAGAAACTATTTTTTAGTGGCAAAAATTCCTGCAATAGTGACAATTCAAAGGCTTTTTTTAGAATAATATTTAGCGAGTTTGACATTTATTGTAGCATCTTTCATGCTTAAATCTCTTTTAAGATTTTCAAAATTATTTAGTATTTCGTTATATTTCACTTATTCTACGATATTTTACTAATTATTAATAATTGCTATTAATAATTATTTTTATTTCTCTATTACGATCGCTCATACGATTGCTTCTTATTTTCTTTTAGTTTTTTTTTTATAGTGAAGAAAAATACTTAACATTTGTTAGATTTTTTCTTACTAATTTTTCAAAAATTTTTCTAATTTTTGCATGTTTTGAAAGAATAGGAAAAATAGTAAAAGCCTTCTAAAATAGCCATGTAAGCCTAAATTTTGAGGAAAGGATAGACCGTGTGCTTCAATTCGGCTAAAACTGTCAAAGATTCGATTCGTAACCTCTGGTACTTTAGAAACCAAATTCATGTAGTGATAGGCATTTATTTTATTCTTAATAATTTCCTGATCATTTCAAAAATATTTAAGCAAAATTTAGCAAATATTTATTAAAAATTAAAAAAAAAATTTATAGAAAATAGAAAAAAATAGAAATAAATTAGTGAATTATTGCAGTAATAAATAACATAGCTAGGTTAGGTTTTCCTCAAGATATTCCTTGAATCACATAGATATATTTTCATTTAGAGACTCTAAAATCGTATTTTTGCATTTATTCAACTGCAATTTCGTTGGTTCCACTCAGCTATATGATGTATATTTGTAGCGCTTTAATTTTTCCAGAGGTTTAACTTAGATAAAAATCATTTAGAAATGGTACTTACCGAGAGAAACTTTGCAGAAAATAAATGTTCAATTGCTTAAAGTTCTTTTTTTGTTTTCTTTTTAGAAATTGAAATTTTTCGCGTTAAACTTTTTATAGAAATGTCTGTGGATCGTTCGATTGGCCAGCAATCATTACCACCGCGAGAACAATGGTCATCGTGGGCTGATTTTATAATGTCATGTATCGGATATGCGATTGGTCTTGGCAATGTGTGGAGATTTCCATATCTTTGCTATCAGAATGGAGGAGGTTTTTATTATTTTTCATTTTTCAGACATATGGATTTAGGAAAGAAACAAATTCAAATTTTCGCCTTATAAATATTGGCACAATATTGGTTCATTTTTTATTTTTGTCACAATTTAATGAAAATAGAAAAAATTTGTAACAAAAATAAAAAAAATAATTTAGTAAATTTAGTAAATTCCATAGCAAAAGTTACTTTACAACGATAATTCTGAGCCACTAAATTCACTTTTTTTCACACATTTGATAAGAAATTTCAGTTGAATTTTGACAATGATTTATAATTTTTCGAAAAAAACAGCATTTACGTAATTTACGGCAATTAATAGTTCTTTTCTTGATGTTCGTCTTTAAAATCCTAAATAAAAAAAAGATAGAAAGTTAATTTGCATAATTTCATGGCCTACGGCAATTTTTTATATCGCATTATTTGTAAAACTAGGCTAAAGACAAAAAGCATTTTTTATTTATTAGAGACTTTACTAAAATTATAAAAAATTAAAAATTGGAAAAATTATTTTAAAAATTATCATATTGTCACTGATTAAAAAATTGGCATCAAGCTTATTGTAAAACAATTTTGTAAATTACAGTATTACCTAAACAGATTATCTTGACATTATAATGAAAAACTATGAACAGAATGCAAATTCCAATTTCAGGTGCGTTTTTGGTACCATACGTGATCTCACTCGTCTTTTGTGGTGCGCCACTCTTCATTCTAGAAACATCTTGGGGCCAATTATTGAGTGTCGGTGGTCTTGGAATGTTTAAAATTTGCCCAATTTTTAAGGTTTTCGTTTAATTCATTTTTTTTCAGCTTATTTCTGCTATTAAATAATAATTAACTGAATAAATAATTTTTCGGACATATATATTTCCTTTCGAGAAATAATATTATTTCTACTAAAAGAGTTAAATTAAAGCAAATTTTATTTTTTCGACTATTTTTAATGAATTTAGGGTGTTGGAATTGCGGCCGCTGTTATGGCATTTTGGTTGAATATTTATTATATAGTTGTACTTAGTTGGGCGATGTGTTATTTATGGAATTCTTTACGCTTCGATTCGAATGTTCCATGGCGGAATTGCAATAACGAGTAAATGCAATGTTTTATTGAAGCCTAAGTGACAACGAACTTTTTGATCATCTAAAATCATTTCTAAAATTGCCTAAATTCTAAAATACGTTCATTCGTATTCTATAGTAGTATTTTCACTAATTGGCCATTTAATTAATTGCTAAATTAGAATATTTAATAAAAATTGAAAAAATTAATATTAATAATTTTGCTAATTAATTATTGACGATTATTACAAAGGAATCGAGTAAAAAATGAAAAACTAAAAAATTTTATACAATATAGAAATATTAATATTCAAATAAATAAATACATAAAAATATTGAAATAAATATAATAAATAACAAATAAATATAAAAATAAATAATAATTTAAATAAAAAATATCAGAAAAATTTAAAATTCTCTTTTAATTTAGTAAAAATTCTCTTCTTTTTTATTGAAAATATTTCTAAGTAAAATTGCAAAATTTATTCGAGAATATTTCTTTTTTCTGTAAAATATTTAATTTCCATCTCAGATGGAATACACATCGATGTAGGAGTGAATATGATCCGTTGACGTGTGCTGGTAATCGAACAATTGCAAAATATTTCAACGTAAAGGTATTTTTCAATTTCCAATTTTCACAAAAAATCCAACTATGCCCACAGGCATCGTTGGATTTAGTTTATTTTAATGAACTTTCCATTGAAATTGAAGTATACGGACTCCATTTGTATCGAAATTATCTCCAAGTAAAAAGGTCTCGTCATGTTGCCAATGAAGCCAAAGGACGCAAGTGCAAGAAATGACTTATGTTTTAGTAATTTTGAAAAATAACTGAAAATTGTAAAGATACGATTCGCGAGCTATTTAGATTTTAACCACGGATCATCTTAATGAATATCGAAAGCAATTTTTTGTGGGTATGAAATCGAACTGGACAATTTGCACAGCTGACGACCTAAATGTACAATCACCGGTTAAGGAATATTGGAAGTAAATAAATAAATATTCATTTTTTTTATAGCTTTTATGATTCAAGCAATTTTATGAGGATTTATTGCATGAATAAAGTTGATTTCAAAAGAAAATCATGTAAAAGTGATTCGTTTCTAGCAGAAATCTTTGCTGTTTTTTTGTCACATTTGGCCATAAATATGAATACATTTTTATGAAATTTTCGCCTTGATTTTTGTAAAAATTCCAGCTAAATAACATTGAAAAATAATTTAATAAATTTAAAAAAAATATTCATAAATATAAATAATACTTTAGTAATAAATATTAATATTCATTAATATTGAAATCTACTGAAACCATAGTTATGAGAATTTATGTTTTTTATTTAAATCTATTTTCATCGATAAAACAAATGTAAATTTTAATTTTATTTTATTATTTATTAATTTTATTTATTTTGTTTCTTATTGTTTTTAATTTATTATTTTTATTTTTATGTTTTTAATTTTAACACAAATTGTTGCACATTATAAAGAAATAATTTAAAAAAATTTTCAGTTATAAGGTTCTTGGCATTAGCAAAGGTTTGGAAGTACCTGGTGGCCTAAGATGGGATCTCGCAATTTTTCTGCTTATTATTTGGTCTATATGTTACCTCTGCATATTTAAAGGTGTTCGATGGACTGGAAAGGTATATTTTCAGTCAAGTAATGTACTTATTCAATATACCTTGCTGAAGATCTATCTCCACTTTTATCTCTTAATGGCTATCGGATTTCACCCTAGTAATCAGTTGAATTGCCAACGGTTGCCAAACCAAAAGTAGAACATAGTAGGAAAAGAATCTTCACTGGTACTTCGACTAATGTTGAAAAAGTATCAAACAACATAGGTTCAATTTCTATTCTTTAACAAACCTGTCATTAAAAGTGACCAAATCCACTTGCACTTTAATCCCCAAATTAATTGCAGGCTTTGAAGAAGCCTTATCCTATTAACCAATTGAACCGGTCTAATCAAAAATAAATAAATGATAAGAGCAGAAAGACAATTTGAAGAAGAAAATGTCAGAAGATGGATATCGAGCATTTAGCAAACGAAATTTCTAGCATTCCTTATAGTTTCCCACAAAACTTCTACTTAATATACCTTTTTTAAGGTCAAAAATAAATAAATAAATAGCTTAAAAAAGGAGCAGAAAGATAAGATAAGATAACTTTCGTTCACTATCACCAAGTGAACTAACAAAGCCGCAACAATTTATAAATACTTTTTCATTACTACCATTTTTTTCAGGTTGTATATCTCACGGCGTCTTTTCCATATTTAATGCTTGTATGTTTATTAATTCGTGGTTTAACTTTGCCTGGTGCAAGTCTTGGCCTCGAATTTTACCTAAAGCCAAATTTTTCGAAACTCTTAGAAAGTAAAGTATGGATTGACGCAGTCACACAGGTGTTTTTTTCCTATGGTTTAGGACTTGGAGCACTTGTTGCACTCGGCAGCTATAATTCATATCACAACAATGTTTACAAGTACAATTCATCTTCGAGACTTTTTTTTTTTAGATATTTACAGCATATTTCGTTAAAAAATGAATTTTCTAACATTAGTGATAAATGGTTTAACAAAGAAACTTAATGCTTTATCACTGATAAGCTCAATCCTAATTATCATTTTATAAAAGACATACTATAGAAAATAAAGAATTCAAGAATTATTCTTGGCTCAAATTCAATGTGAAATAGGGAATGATCGAGGGGAATTATAATTATATTAAGCTAACAGTACGGTAGATCATGCAAAACAGTTGTACACAACTCAAGTTTTTTTATAGGCAAGCATTAACGGTTTGTTTTGTCAATAGTGGAACTAGCGTTTTTGCCGGTTTCGTCATTTTCTCATTTATCGGTTTTATGGCAATTCAACAAGGCAAAAGCGTCGAAGAGGTGAATCAAAAAGCAGAAAAATAAAAATTTATGCTATTTAATTTGAAAAATATCCGATAGTTTTATAATGAATTAGAAAATTTACAGGTCGCCCAGTCGGGACCAGGTTTGCTATTTTTAGCCTATCCATCCGGAATATTACAACTACCATATACCAATATTTGGTCAATCTTATTTTTTACAATGGTTCTTTTTCTTGGAGTTGATTCACAAGTAATTTTTCAATAATAATTTTTTAATTCCCTAAACTTTCAGCATAGGCAGAAATGAAATTTGTGTAATACTGGGAATACCACCCCATCTGTAACTGTATTCCCATGAGATCCTCGGACAGATTTCTGCCTATGCTGAAGGTGTTCGACTGAGCAAGCCAAATTGCTGAAGGACGAAGAAGGAGGAATAGAAAAAGATACTACAATGCTTGAAAGACATCGGATAGCAATTGGCTAGACTAAGTATTCACTAAACAAGTTACTGTAGACCAGAATGATAGGAATATAGTTAAGAGCATAGAAATCAGCAATTAGAAAATTTTCCTAAGGGCATCTTGTGAAAAGGTAAATGCCTTTATCACTAGGCTCATTGATTCACAGTGGATAATATTGGTATTGAAATTCATTAAAAACCATAGTTGGTTGATATTTTTCTAGAAGATCTTTAATGCTCTCAAAGATTCGTTAATTTTAAAGGTAAACATACATATCCGAGCAGAGGAGCACAGTGTGCTACCACTGTCTGCCATCATTATCATCCTCAAAAATACTAAAACTGGTGGGGAGGATCCAAGGTTCCAATCCAAGATCCATATCGCCCTTAGCGAATGATCCATTTGAGCTCTATTTTCCAAATTTCTCTTAATTTATTTCTTAATCAAACAAAACTGGAACGAAAGCTATAAAATTCAGTTTTGTACAATGGAGGGTTTTTTTACGGCAATAATCGATGAGTTTCCACATTTAATTCGAAGCAAGAAATATGGACGAGAAATATTTGTGCTTTCCATATGCATTATTAGCTATTTTTGTGGATTAAGCACCGTAACAGAGGTTCTTTTTTACGATTAAATTTAAGCAGAAAGAAATTTTTTAAAATAATTGAAAAATTTTTGCTATAATTTATGACCGATTTTTCTCATTTAATATGGCTCTAATTTTTTAGGCATAAAAAAGTCGAATTATTTTATTATTTTTTATTTGTTTTTATTTAGTCATATTTTTTATTTGTTATTTTTCATAAATTTATTTTTTTAAAATGCAATAAATATTTTTCAAAATTTTATTTAAAGGGAGGATTTTATGTTTTTCAATTATTCGATTATTACGCAGCTTCTGGATGGGCTTTATTGTGGTTATTATTTTTTGAATGTATAGCGATTTCTTGGAGCGTTGGTGAGATTTTTTAATAATTATTCAAAATGGCCATGTATGGCAAACTGGTATATGGGTTATCCATTCGAACATTATGCAAAATTCCAAATTTAGATCCTGTTGACCCATTTGTATTTCCTGTTCTTTAACCTAATATTCAATAAAATGAACCAAATAAACGATAGTCCAAAATGAATGCTGCAAAAAAAGATTAGCTGAACAGCTACATAATAATAAGGTTGATCACTAAGTTTACGCCTTAGGGATAGAATAGCCCTGTGGATTGTTGCTCAGTTCGGAGCGCCAGCGCTGAGCTTTTATTTCTCGCAAGAGAAAACCTCTTCAAAGATTCGGGTGATACTGGCGTTCAACAAGCCAGCGGAGCGAGTTTAACTAATAATGGTAAGCACTCTTAAAAAAAAAAAATTAACGAAGTGCTTCAAATAAAATTAATGGCAGACTGATTAATAATATCATTCAAAAATTGATAAAATTATGCCACAGTTGATAAAATTTATTTCAAAAATCAAAAATTGACAAAATTTATTTTCTAAATTTTCTCACCAAAATCATTTTAAAACTAACTCGAAAACTTTAAAATTTAAAATCTTTCACTTGAATATTTTTTTAAGGAATCAGCCAGTGGTATGATCATATGAAATCAATGATTGGTTACTATCCAAATCCATGGTGGAAATTTTGTTGGGTTTTTGCTACACCAACCGTTTGCATGGTTTTATTATATTCGCTCATTTTTTTCCAATATAATTTTATCAATATTATCAGTCATAATCAGCAAATTACTGATTTTGTATTTTTTGCAATAGTAATCTGAATTCTCTCTTTCATAGATCGTTGAAACGAATACTATTATTATTATTTCCACTTTTATTATATTAATAAATAAAATAAAATAATTAATTTCATGCTAAATTTTAATAAATGTATTTTTATTTTAGGGTGTATTAATATTTGGCCTAGCAAAATATCAACCATTACGAATCGACGCCTACAATTATGATTATCCATTATGGGGACATGTATTTGGATGGTTTTTATCGCTTTCATCAATGCTTTGCATTCCTGGCTATGCTATTTATCTTTGGTTTATCACTGAAGGAACACCATCAGATGTTGGACTTTCGCATAGTGTTTTTTTCATAAGGAGAATTAAAAATATTATAATTTAAAGTCGCTTAAAAATTCATAAATTCATTTAGAAAATAAAATACAATAATTTAATTTTTCGTCAAAAATGAAAAAATAAAAAAAGAAAAATAAAAAATGAAAAAATTTTTTAAATATTTTTTTACAAATTTTTTACAATGTTAAAGATTTTTTACATAAATTTTAAAATTTTATATATAAATTAAATTAAATTTCTATTTTGCATATAATTTATATTAAAATAAATTTTAGAAATTTATAAAACTTTTTCGGCCAAAAATTCAAATTCAATTAGATGGCGATATATTGCACGTAAATGAAATGCAAATGAGCTAATAGTTCGATTGGATATTTCATAAAAAATTTTTTGCAATTTTTCACGAGATTATTTCGCTTATTAGTGTTTGTTTTTCGGAAATTTTTTTATGATTGAATCTTCAAAATGAATTATTATATTAGAGATTCATTAGCCATTTTGTCCTAAAATTGTTCTGCCTTAAAGGCAAAATTTTCCTCATTATTCAACTTTGGGATATAGAATGGCTCAGTAGGTTGTTGCTCAATTGGGAGCGCCGATGCTGAGGTTCGATTCCCAGCAGGTGTAAACCTGTACAAAAATGCGGGTGATGCTGGCGACTCACCTGTATTTCTATCGCCAAGGTACTTTCTAGCATATTACCCAATGCAAAAAGCCAGTGGAGTAAATTTAACCAGTAATGGTGAGAATTCTTAAAAAAAAAAACCCGACTAATCAATAGACATCACCAATAATTCAGTGGCCTAGTGATTGCCTAAAATTAATCGTTGGTTCCAATTTTTTAAAATCTTATTATAATTTACAAGAGACGAAACAATCATTTATGCAACAACCAAACATATTTCTTTATTGCTATTGTATTTTAGTTACAAAACACTTTGAAACTGTATAATTTCATTTTATTTTTTTAAAAATAAAATGAAATTTAAGCTAAAAAAATGAAAATTTGTAGAATTTGAGCACATATTTTCGTAATTTTTTAAAATATTTTTAGATTATTTTAGTATTTCCAATAAGAAAAAAAGTTTAGTAAATTCAACGTTTATCGTATTTCATGCGAAGAAAGAAAATTATCCGCCAAACACTGTTATCATAATTATCAGTTCATTTATTATATATCTACCTATCCATCTATACCGATAGCTGTATCACTGCAAATTTATTGTTATTTAAATTTGTAAAATAAAAAAAATTTAATAAAAAATAAACATATCATTAAAAATTAGCTGAGGTTTATCAACGATTTATTTAATTTTTATAATTTATTTTTATTCGAAAATTCAATAATTTGAATTTCCTTCTATTTTCCCATTTTAATTAAAATTTTAATTAATTTAATATTCAAATTAAATATTTAACGATAAAAATATTTAATAAATTTTCTTTTCTCTAAAAATATTATAAATTAATAAAAATATATAAAAAAGTTTCCTTTGTTTCAAATTTTACAATATTGAAAAAAATTTTTTTAACCTTTATTTTAAAATTTTATCGCAAAAAAAAGCCAGAAAAAATGAAAATATCTTAAATCTATTCTTAAAATAAGGTGGAAAATTTTATTTACTACAACAAGATTCGATAACATTCGGTGAAGTTGAATAAGTTCAATTTTGCTCACTGTGAAAATGCCTCGCTGGAACCTTACCAGCTCAGCCTTATCAATCTTATCGGTCTTATCAGATTTTGATATTTCATCGTGCACAAAATGAGCTTATTAAATACATTCATTAAAGCCAAAATAAAGATGAATATATTTGAAATAATAATTTTTCTTAATTAATTCTAATATTAATTTATTGTTAGTAAATTATATATAAAATATTTTCTATTATATTTAAGAATGATATTTATTAATCGAGTTGATCCACAACGATTTTCATCTGGAATTGATTTCAATGATTTAGTAATAACCCTTGTTTGTATATAAAAAAAAAAGATAGCGCGCGAAAAATTTCATTTCAATCTTTTTCGCGCAATACTTGTGCTCAGTCACTATTTTCAAAAATACTAAAAGGCCAAGAAAAAAAAAAGCCAATATTTAGGCGCTTTAAAAGGATGAAAAAAAGAAAAAGTGTCAGCCTTCGTCGTCCATTTGGCTTATTTTATTCGATAATAAAAATAAAATTTTAATTTTAAAATTAAAATTTTTAAAAATATTTTTAAAAAATAAAACCAATTTTATTTCTTTCACGTTAAACGGTCATTTTAAAAGAAATAATTGCGTTGAGATTTTCGAAAATTATAAAAAGTCGTATTTTGCGTTTTATTTTTGTAAATCTTTCGATCTTTTTTTTCATAAAAAAATATAATTTTTTATGAAATAAAAATTTTGCAATAATAATAGATTTATTAATTTAAATAAATAAATACAAAAAAAAGATCGGAGAATATAAAAAAATTTAAAAAAATAAAAATAATAATTGTATTATTTTAAATTTTACCTCAATATGTACAATAGTAATTGTATGAATAAAATTTTAATTTTTCAGTTGTTTTTTTCGCTTAAATTATTATTTTCGCAAAACAAGAAAAAAAATTCAAATTTTTTTATTTCTAATTGATTATTTAATTAATTAATTCAGTCGTTTAGAGAAAAAACAATTATTCCATAAAATCCTTCAATAGTCACTCCAATGGTACTGTACTGGTCGACTTTGCTTCTTTTAACGCGAACTTTTTGAGTGAATAATGGTGAATTGCAAACGCGCTTATAGCTGAATTTTAGTAAATCTAAACCACAGAGCAGATTTTAGTGGTGGTACTTGCATTTAAATATTCTTGCAAATTTTTTCGTAAAATATTGCTTATGGGTGGGATATTTTAGTCTGTGTTGTTGGTTTGTAGCTTGCCGATTATTTAAATTTTACTTTATTTCGGCGAAATTAATGAATGGCAATATAAAATTATTATTATTAAAAATTAGTATAGAATTACAATTTGAGCAATGGTCATTAAACTGGTCCCTAAGGATTCCATGGGATCCGTGGGTGACCGTCAAGGACTTTTTAGAAGCCTAATTAGAATTGTTATGCACTATCATTTTATTTATTTTCTCTTATTTTGTCTATGTGGTACGAAAGCGTTTTTAAATGCTGATATTTAAAACCTTTTGGTGGATAAAAATGTTAAAAATCGAATGAACTACATATTAGGAGTCCATGGATTTTTTGGTATCTTCTGTGTGGTCTATGGAAAAAACTTTGCTGACCATTGGAGATTTGAGAAATTAGGATAATTATTTAACTTGAGAGAGATTTATTTTATTTTATTCACTTGACTTATATGTAGGTTAAGAATGAAAAAAAAAGTCGAGAAGGTCGTCGTATTTATTATAAAAATTAATAATTAATAAATGGTTAAGATGGGCGAAAAGATTGAAAAGGTCGAGAAGAGCGAAAAGCATGTTCGCGACTATATCGATGAGATCGAGCAACGAGCTCGAACTCAGTGCGAAAATCAATCTCTCATACGAAATAGTACGCCATTAAGTGAAGATCAATTGGGCAAATTGGACAGTACTTTAAAGCGTGCAACGGCATTTATGAAAAAATTAAAAAATATTGGTGCAGGTCAACAAACGACAATTTTCAATGATCTAGAGAAGGTAAATTTTGGCTTTTAAATTTTACCAGTGAGTCTCCTAACGATAGAAGTACGGGTGAATTGCTAGCACCATTTTGAATTTATGATAGACGCCTCCGAAATATATGTTTTTCTGCTATTGAGCTATTCTTTTTCCATTAATAAAATTTTTATTTTTTTGAATTTTTCTTTTTATTTTATTTTTTTCATTTTAAAATTTAAATTTTAAAATTTACATTTTAAAATCATAAAATTTTAAAAAATTTCATTTCATTTTCTTTCCATATTTTTTTTTATAGATAAATTTATCGAAATTTGTCGAAGAAATTGCGATTTCATTAGCCGAAATAAAAATTAAAATGAACGATGTGAATGTTTTGGTACAGATTTGTGTTCGAATTTCTTGTCTTTATAGTAATTTTTCCTCGTTACTTTTTGCTGAATTTAAAAAATTTGTTCCAACGAAGCGAACCGATAAAATTGTTAATCCATCGAAACTTCGTGTTGATCTACGGTTAGTTTATTTTTTAGTAAAATAAAGTGCTTTATTTTTTAATTTATTTTCTTATCTTCTTTCATCTTTTTCATTTTTCATCTTCTTTTATCTTTTTTATGTTAGTTTTTTATATATTTTTTTTTGCCAAAATATTCTTTGATAAACATTCTTATTCTTTGTATATTTTTTTTCTTTTTAGTACATCTTTTTTGTTGCTAATTTTTTTTGTTTTTTATTTAAAAGATTTAAATTTAAAAGATAAAGGAGAAATAATTTTTAAAAATCAAGGTTTTAGAGTAATTGCCGAGTTATGCCTTCATGGAGTTTTTGCTAAAGAAGGTATTCAGTTACTTGGCTCAATGATTTCATATTTAACAGTTACTGATAAAGCGGATCACAATAATGTGGCGATTCTTTTGCCTTTATGCAAATCTCTTGGTGTGGATCTTTTAGGCCTTCATTCTTTATCAATACAGAAGGTTATTTCTTTCTTTATAACTGTATTTAAAAATATGGTACATTCTGATAAGTCTTTTGTTGTTTCTATATTTCAAAGCATGATGTGTTTATTTAATTGTATAAAGCGTAGATAAATCCATTGTTTAAGTTTAGAAATTAAAATATTACCTTAATAGTATTTAAAGTGATAATTTGGTTTGGATTTCAAAGAGAAAAATTCGATGTAGATGATAATTTTTCAGGAGGCCACAGAATTTGGGATTGACCTTCCTATGCCATCAACCATAACTGTTGAACAAAAACATGTATTTGCTCAGCTCTTTTTGGATTATCGCAAAACTCTTGTGGACCATATTCAAAAAGTTAGATATTTCATAATTAGCCATATATTTATTATGGATGATTGGTAACTCGATCCATTCTAAATTTTATTTCATCGGAATTGATTTGATTTTTGACTTTAAATATCTCTTATTGGTATCGTATGAAGTGTTTAGGAACTCAATGAAATGAATCACATTTTGCGTTCTATAAAAAAGCAAACACGTTCTCGTGGAGATGCTTCATCGGAAGATCGAGTTAAGTTGGATGAGGTTCGAACTCGTTATGAAAAGCATTTACAAAATGGTTTAACACTCAGTGAAGTTCTCGGTGTGGAGTTAGAACAAATGGTCGAAGAACAGGTGTGTCATATTTGATTTTCCAGTAAGAAATAAATTATAATGAGAAGGGAATGAAAATCATCAAATTCTTAAAGGGAAAATCATCAAATTAATTTTTATTTGAAATAAAGATGGTGCGGTGTATGTTGTTTGTTGTTGTGTTGATTCTTGATTATGCTTCTTTATACTTATTCAGATAATTTTGAATCTTTTCTTTGTATTTAATTTGTGATGGAAATATTATTAATGATTATTCGCTAATAAGGTGAAAAATTATCGGATATATATTCGCAATTCTTAAACTAAATAATATTTTTAAAAATCATTGCGTATATATTTTGTCTTTGCAATTTCAAAGCCAAAAATTTTTTGAGAAAAATGGAATGAAAAAGCAATATCATCGAATTCTTATTTTTTTATTAAAAAAAATTTTATATTTTTAAGTAATTTTTATTTTAAATGAATAAAAAATAAAAATTAGATATCATTGGATATATTTCTTGTGTTTATATATTTCTAAACTAAAAATTTTTGGGAAATAGATGTATTTAAAAGATATATTTCATTCTTTCAAACTTTATGCACAAAAAGCTGAATATCTTAAAGAGCGAAGACGAAGATGAAGAAAAGTCGGCTCTTGAAATTCGTCGCGCTTTACAAGAAGGAATTCTTTCAATTTGGCCTGATGAAGATACTCGACAATTTTATGAAATGCGTTTACAGCTGCGTGAAATGGTCCCAGCTATTCTTTTCCAAGTATTATGCTATTTTTAATTTTGATCAAATTATACATCTGTTGATTAATTACTCTTTTTCCTTTTAGCTAGAAGAAAAAATTTTATTGAAGGAATCAGAATTACGAACTCTAGAACCTGTACAAGGTGCAATTGAAGACGTTGATTTAACTGGCTTAGAAGACATTCCAGAATGCGATGAAGAAGCTATCGATGAAGACGAACCTTCAGATAGCAGTAAATTTGTTAAAGAAATTTCTAAAATTTTCCTATTCCATTTAAATTTGAAATATTTTGAAGATTTTTCTCTGAACTTGTTATGAAATGTAAAAAATATTGCAGATGATGGTGAAATGGAGGCACGGGAACCAATGGATATCGATGCAACTATAGCATCTTTGCTTGATCCCGCTGTTAAGTATTCGGGTAAAGATCTGAAGAAAATGATGACAACTTTTCTTGATAAGCTTCCATGGTTGATAAATAGAGATCTAATTGATAATGCAGCTCTCGAATTCGTTACCGATTTAAACACGAAGATTAATCGGAAGAAACTCTGTCAAGGTGATTTACATGATTTTGATTTTGATTTTGATTTTTGATTTTTGAATTCATTTCTTTTTCTAAACAAACATCATACCAATATATTGAACTACTTTTGAATATTTATTTTCTGCTAGAAAGCTTTTCTTAAATTCTATCTTTATATTTTTTATATTTTTTTATATTATATTTTAAATTTTTAAATTTTAAATTTTTTATATTTTACAGTTATGCTTAATGAACATCTTGATCGTCTTGATTTACTGCCTTTTTATGGACGCCTTATTGCTACTTTGGAACCTGTAATGCCAGATTTTGCTGTGGAAATGTCACAGGCATTAATCCAGGAGTTCAAATCAGTAGTACAGAACAAGTCTAAATGTCGTTTGGATCGGAAAATTCGTTTATGTCGTTTTATTTCGGAATTGGTTTGATTTTTGTTTGTAGTAATTTACAAAAATTTTTTTATTAAAATAATTACATATGAAAATGTAACAAATATAAGAAATTTCACATTTTTTAAACCATTATTGTTTTGTTTTATTGAAAAATTTCAATCGTATGAAGTAGTCCATGCAAATGAATGCCTTTTATCTGGTTTTCTTCTATAATTTCCATTTTTTTCAAATTTGAGGTGAAGTTTGGTTTGATACCTAAAGCTGAAGCTATTGTTTGTCTTCGAATGGTTTTATTCGATTTCCGTGGTCATAACATCGATATGTGTTGTGCAATGATAGATTCAATGGGTCCATTCTTGTACCTTTCATCAGATAGTCATAGTAAAACAAAAATTTTACTCGATGTTATGATGAAAAAGCGCGAGAAAATAAATGATCCCAGGCAGCAGGTAACGAATTTTTCTAAAAAATTTTTTTTCCCATTATTAATTATTTAATTATTTGTCTATTTGCTTCTATTAATTTCTTATAGAAATACGAGTTCTTGACAATGTAGGTCCGATGATGGGTGGAGATTTCATTTCGTTTTTTAATTCTTTGATTTATCAGTGATTATCATTGAACACTTTTATTAATTTATATTTTTATTGATTTAGTGATTATTCGACTATTTTACATAACTGGTTATTTGACAAAAAACTTTGCAATATGTTATTTGGCTATCCCTTTAAACTTATATTATCACTATTTATTAATTAGAGTAAATGGATGGTTATTACTTTATTATAGCTTTTTTTAGATGTTGATCGACAATGCGTATTTTGCTTGTATTCCTCCACCACAGGAAGAAAAAATTGTTTTCACACGTCCTACCATGCTTGATTTTATTCGAACTCAGATTATTAGTATCAATGCCAATCGAATGGAACACACTGTTCGACTTTTGAGGAAAATTGATTGGACCGATGTTAAATTAGTTGGTAAATTTCATTTAGTTTTCTACTTAGATAAATTTTTTCTCATTATTGTTAAATATTCCATTAAGCTTTCATTTATATTGCAGGTATTGGTTATTTTTGCTTATTATTGTTGAATTACTTTCATTATTATCATCATTATTATTATTCATAATTACATTCTCATAGATTTTGTCATTCGTTGCCTGAGTACGCCTTCACTTGTCAGATTTACCAATGTTCCTCAACTTGCGTCTTTGGTTGCTGCCCTTTCTTCTTTCCACGATTTTATCAGTAAGTATTTCTTTTTTCTCTACGATTGTTAAAACTGTATACTTATAAAATCGTATGAGTAAAATAATTATATAATGGCAATTCTTTTAAAAATGCGAATATAGAAATACGAGTTCTTGACAATGTACTGGAAGAGTTACGACTCGCATTGGAATTCAATCATCCTTCGTTAAATCAAACTGCTGTTCTTGCTGTTGTATACCTCGGCCAACTTTATAACTATACTGTTTGCGATTCACCTATCATATTTAAAGTATGTAAAAAATAGGATAAATTATCGCTTTTTATATATTTCGCACTTTTTTCGATTTATATTTTCAAATATTGCCTTAATTTTCATATTTGCATATTTTGCATATTTACATATTTTGTTGTTATTTATTAGAGAAAATTTTTACTTTTAATTTTCAATAATGATTGGGATTTGAAATTAAAATCTCTATTTAAATAATAAGATCTATTATTAATTTTAAATAAATTAATTGACTTGATGAAGAGGAATTTCTTTCAGACTTTATATCATCTGATAACATTTGGTGCATTTGATCCATTTCTTGATGACTGGAATAATTTTATGCGTATAGGCCTGGTCTGCGATTTGCTGATGACATGTGGCGAATTTTTCAATGGTAGTGCAGCTAAACGAAGACTAGATTGTTTTTTAATTTATTTTTATCGTTATGTTTGGGCAAAGAAGGATGCATGTGCATTGAGAGACTTATCTTTTCCCAGTGAGGTAATTCTCTTTTTTTTTGATAGTTTGATAGAAGGATGATTTGCGAATAGAAAATGGTTTTTTCTTGGTAACTTTTTTTTAAATTTTATAGGTGCAATTTCGATTGGAAGAAATGTTGAATTATGTAAGGAAGTCAGCGAAAATGCCTAAAAGTATGAAAGAGGCTCAAGAAGCAGTAGAAGAAATTGAAAATAAATATAAAGAAATGGTAAATCTTTCACTAATATCTAAATATATTTTGTTTATTTGCATTTATAAAAGGTTTACTCACTCTTATATTCTCCTCTATTCTTTTAATCCTTTAATTCAATTATTCAATAATTTTTAAATTTGCCATTTAAATTAATTATTTATCTTAGAGATTATAGGAGAATTTTAGTCTATGCGTTCCAGAAAATTATAAATTTCTAACAAATGTTTTCCTTGAATCTTAGATACTTAAAGATAATTTTTATATTAATTTATTTAGTTTGATTAATTTTTGGTTGCTTTCAAAGATTTAGAATGATGATGTTAAGTGATCTCGTGAAATTTTAGAACATTTTAAAGATTTTATTAGTTTAATGAGTAAATTTTTCATATCCCAAAATATCATTTGAAAATATTGTTTTTTTCAGAACATATAGGATTACTGATAGGATTAAAAAAATTTATGACTGTTTTCAATAAATCTGAATTCTTTAAATTGCTTTATAGCCGTTTTGTATGCAATATTGTCTCTGAAAACCTCGCAATTCATGTTTCTCTTTGTCTTTGTAATTTTGCAATACAATTAGAAAGTTTATAGTTTTTGACGTTTATAGTTTTGAAAGAATTAGATTGAGGTGTTGTTAAGGAGGTGGAGACATGAAAAGAGGAACAAGATAGTATAAAACGGTTTAAGACATTACAATGGATTATTAAATGAAGAATATACTGTTTTGCATGGAGTTATAGAGGAAATATAGCAGAAATTGAGAAATTTCTGGAAAGATATGGTGAGTTTTAGCGAATAACAAATAGTTTTATAATGATTTTGATCAGTGGAGTTATGCAGAAAATGAGACATTTGTAAAATGAGTAGCGTCAATAATGCAGCAGGTTACCCATTATTGGCCTAAGCTATAGAACTCTTCCTACTCCTCCAAACTGAAAGTCTATATGAGTTTATCAGCACATATGGGGATTAAAAACAGGTGATAGAACTAAAAGTTACACTTCCTGCGTTTTCTATAAGTTACTGTATGATGGTAAATAGACTTAGACGAATGGACATGTCTTGAATTTACAGCAAAGGAAATAGACTATTAGGCTAACCTGTCTTGCGTTACTTTCTTAATAGTTTAAGGATATTATTTTGATTTTGATTTTTTACGTATTTCTCTTGATTAATGGTATCATTTGCAAATTCTGCGAATTTCACCACGAGATTCATATCTTATATTTCTTGCATTTGGGTAAAGCCATGTGCTTTAACTTTTTATCTGCAATTTTTGCAAAAAAAAAATGAGCTGCTGAAGTATTTTATGAATGCATAGCGGGAAGATGTCATCACTGTCACTAAAATGACAGCTTTGTCATGTTTTTTTGATTGTCGTACTTGATATATGAATGCTAAATTTGATGAAATGAAATGAATGAAATGACTTAAAATATTTATTACTCTTTTTTTTAAACATCCAGAAACTACTCTATTATGAATGTTTTTGCATGTTATTTATTTATTATTATTTATTATTATTATTTAATTTAGAATGCATTTATAATGAGTAAAATCTTCTTAAAAATTTTTAACAGATATTTTTTTATTTTATTTTAGTTATAAAATTTTTTTTTCTCATTCACTGAATTTATAATTTATTTATTTATTTTTCCTAAACTTAATTCTATTTTTATTTTTAAAAAAGAAAATATTTTCAGATATTTTATTATTATATTAAAAAATATTTCAAAGTCCACTATCCATATTTTATTATACTATTTTTTCTATTGTTAAGAGTGGCCGATTTATTTCATATAAGCCATTTTCTTATCGTCTTTATTCTTTATCCCTTGTGAATTCTTTCTTCCCCTTCGAAATAGATCGATCATTTATTAGGATATTTTTTTTTCCTTAAGTATTTACTTTTTCCCTAATGAATTTCTCGTTCTTTTTTATTATTACATACACAAATAAATTAATGAAACTTCCTCGTCTTTCGCATTTTTTTCTATATTAGTTTTATAAAATCGTTTTTTTTTTTGCTAAATTTTTTCTTAATTTTATTCATTTTAATTCGCCTTTAAAAGTTGTATTGCTTAAGTGGCTTTTTGGCTAATTAATTAGTCAAAAACATTTATAATTATTTTAAATTTATGGATTGAACCGTTTTTTTTTTTGCAGTAAAATATTTCATATCAATTATAGATTTCACGAGAGATATTTTAAATTTTTATAATTATAATAGAATATAATATTTAAAATATTTTTAGTTATAATTATGTAATAGAAAATAAATATTTTGTAACTAAAATAAAATATATTTCAAGTAAATGTTTAAATGAATTGCTTGCCTGACTTTATTTATTTTTTCATTTATATAAAAAATATTATTGTTTGTACTTGAGAAATCCTTAAATACGAAGTTAACTAAAGTTAATTTAATTTAAAACGAGGCTAAACGATGTTTTGCTTAGCGATTATTCTTAGGTATAAATTATGAGTAATGAGTAATGAGGCAATATGAAAGTGGTAATTTCAGAATTTTTCGCAATGAAATTTATAATAATTTATAAAAATTAGTTTTTTTTTTTTCAAAAATTAATATTGAATAAATCGTTAAATTTTTTTATAATAAATAATAAATATAATAAAAATTATAGGTAGAAGCACCACGAAACGATGAGAATGGCGGTGAAGAAGAGGATTATACTGATGAAGACGATCGAACAAGTGATTTGGAAATAAGACGAAAATTTGACCAAACTGAAGACGATGCACAAAGTAGTGGGTTCGTCGTATTTATTTCAATAATTATTTTCGTAAAGTAAATGAAAATCAATCATAATTTATTTTATTCAGCATTATATTATAAATTTTAATTTTATAAATTATTTCATTAATTTTATTTATTTAATTAATGTTTAATATTTAATATATTATAATATTTAATATATTATTTTTGTTAAAGATTCATCAGCTTTTTTTTTTTATTTTCTTTTCCTTTTTAATAAAATTTTTTTTATTTATGTTTTTTTTTATTTTTTCATTATTAGAATATTTGATTCGATTTTTTTTTTAAATTTTTTAAAAAAATTAGATTGAAAACTTTTAGAAAACAGTTGATTAGTTTTTTGAAAAATACTTTTGCAATTAGATACTTTTGCGCAAAAAATCATTTGGGAATGGATGGAATAGATATTAGTTATTCGCAGCAGTCATCCGAAACCGAATTTTGAAATTGGATAACCACTTGTATTAGTTCTATTTTAAAATAACCTGTGCAAAATTATCTCATGGAAGGTAACCCAGTCGTGTCGAATAGAACCAAGGGCAACCAAAAATGGTGAATTTGATTTACTTATTTATCAAAGAATGAAAATCGAATATTCAAATTAATTAAAGAAAAAATTAATTTTTTATTTTTTCAAGTTTTTCATTCTTCTTTCAACATTTTTCCACAAATTTAAAATGTATATTTTATTTTAAAGTGTAAAAAAATGAATAATTTATAGACGATTATAGTTGTATTGCCGTTTTGCGAGAAATGCAATTTTATTAAGGAGGAAATAATTTTCTTTTCGCGCATATTTGATTAGAAATTGAATTATTCCAAATAACACATAGGTTTTGTTGAGTGAAAAGAATCGTTTTTTTTGTTGGTTCCATTTAAATTTTGAATATCGATTTTTTTTTTAATGAGGACAAATGGTGCAGCGGTAAATTGGTACAGTCTTAAGAGTCTTCAAAGTTTTCAGTTAATTTTTTTTTTTTATTATTTTTTTAAATCTTTCTTTAACGATACACTTTATATTCACCGTTAGATTAAAACTTGGCTCTTTTTTTTTAGCGCACCATTTCTGGTTTGGCTTTCACTGCAGTGTAAAGCTCTTCTGCCAGAGGGTTAATTGAGGTTTCCATTCTGAATTTATCCTTTGATGGCGATTTTATTCCTGTCAAGAAGCAGAAATTTTTCCAATCACTGTTGCTTCCTATCGGTTATGTCCCTTTTTCTTCTATAATTTTCCTCCTCTATAATTTTCCTCTATAATTTTTATTAAAACTTATATTCTTTGACAAGAAATTCTTAATCTTTGAGCCTCTTTGTTTTGTTAGAAATTTTGAAACATTTCTAAATAGAGAATAAATATTCATTCTTTAATTGAATTTGCTTCGTTTTTTTAATTCAATAATTTTGCTATTTAAAGTTATTTTAATAAGAAAAAAAAATAGAAATAAATTCGCGCATATTCTAATTTGCGAATTGCAAATTTTTTTGGAAAAAAATGGTTTTATTTTTTAATAATTTCTCATAAAAAGTTAATTTAATTAACAAAGATTCAAAAACGAAAATATTAATGAATTATTAATATTATTATTACTATTATAAGGCATTAATATAATAAATATTGCAGTGAAAATTACTTTAATCTATAATAGTTTGTTTTTTGATTGTTGCTTGACTCGAATATAGTGGGGCTTTTCATATTTGGTAGCCATTTGAATAATTCCACTTTCAGTTTTGATTTTCCTTCTAAAAAAATTGCTATTATAATTTTTTCATCATAATCGAATTATAAAACATTTCAATTTTTTATTTATAGAATATAGGGTAACATAGAATAATAGTCTTCGTTTATTTATTATTATTATTAATTTTTTTTAATTTTTAAGCGAAGAAGTTAGCACAACGGCGACTTTCTTTGATGATGGAGAAAATGTGGTTGTGCATACGAATCAAGTTGTATTGCCGGAAGATGAAGAATTTGTACAAAATTATGAGAAAATTATAGCGGAAACAATGCAGGTTGTTTTTTTTTTTTTTTTTATTATTATCTTTATTATTATTTTTATTATTATTGCTGTTATTGTTATTAGATTAATGGGAGTTAATGGGAAAAGAAAATAATTATTATTATTTATAGGAATTTATTAAATTAGTAAATCTTGAAATAGTTTTTTTCTCATTTTTTTGTTTTTTCAATATTGTTTTTTGAAAATTCAATAATTTATTAGATTATGTTTTAGAATTTAATTGCTATTTAGTGGAGTTATTTATTTCAATAGAAAAAATAAATAAATCAGAAAGAAAAGATTAATATCTCTTCTCTATTTAAATGTATTTTTTGTTGTTCTTATAGTATGTAATTTAATTAATTTCGAAATTCATTTTTATGCGAGTAATTTTTTAGATTTATAATTTAAAGCATAAAAATTTAAAATTATTTCGTTAAATTAATTCTAAGATTTTAAGAATAATAATTCAAATCAAATGAGATTCAATTTAAAATATAATTTGTAAGTTTGGCATAAATTGAAAATTTTTGACATATAGGAATTATTTTTTTAAAAAGCTAAAATCGATTTAAATAGTAATAGCGGCCAAAAATGAATGTATTTTTTAGAGTAGAGCGACGACAGCGATAACTCCATTAGTGGAAATCACTGTGCCAACATCAGCGAGACAAAAATTTCATCGAACCATCGCCTTTGGTAACTTAATTTTCTCAATGCCTCATTCAATGAATCTATTTAAATGCAAGAAATGAGCGAAAATTTTGCCTATTTTATTATTTTATCGGTCAATTTTACATCAAATTTTATAGATTTATATTCATTCATATAAAATTATTTTCCGATGAAATTATCAAAACATTAAATATAAATATATATAATATTAAATATATAAAAAATATATAAACATAACATATGAAAATCTATTTATGCGTAAAATTTATTTATATAATTTTACCTGCAGAAGATTCGAATAGACCAATAAATAATAATGTAGATGGCGACAGATCGACGCGAATGGCAATTTTAACTCGTGGTAAAGGAAATAAAACGGTATTCATTTTTATGAAATTTCCACTTTTCTTTTCTTTTTTTTTCATACAAACAAATTTCATAATTTTTTTTGTTTGCTTTTTAGATTTTGAAAGCAATTAGGATGGAAACGCCTGATGGTTTAGCGGAAACATGGCAAGCAGAACGAGAAAAAGAACGAAAAGAATTCGACGAGCATAAACATATCACGCTTAGCATGAACGAACGAATGATGGCCGATGATAATTGTTCTGACTGATAAAATTTTTTATGATTTATTCATTATGAATTTACGCATGTGGGTTGGGTGAACCATTTAGTAGAACTGCTTGCGGTACTCATTTGTTTATACTTCATAATATTGTGTCGAATTGATATTTATGATATTGATATTTATTTGGCGGCAATCGCTTTTGATATATTCCTTATCAATTGTGATTTTTATCGAAAAAAAAATAAGGAATATAGTTTTTCACTATTTTTTTTTTTGATGACAAATATTAACTAGCTGAATTGTAATATACAAAAAATATTAAGGCACAAATAAAAATAAGTAGTATTGATGATTGATTTATAGCAATATGATTACATAAATTCGTAGTGCATACGCAAACCCGTTGTAATGCTCGTCGTTCTTGTACAATACCAATTTGAACATTTCTCGTTAATGTATGAACATTTTCGCATGCGATATGTTGAAAATTTTCATGTTTATCACAACCCGAACCAATCCAATAATGATCTACTCCAATATGCATAGTAATCGTCACGCAAACATCTTGATCACGATCACAAATAATTGGTTCCATTTGACATTTTGGAACTGTAAGTCGTGCACGAACACGAAATTTATCAAGTTGTGTTGTATCGTGTTGCGCATTAATACATGTCATACAAGATAACGGCGAATATTTATAGCAATAATAATAAGAATAGTTAAAAATAGATAAGGCGCTTATCAGTACTAATCGTTTTATGCTGTTAATCATAATAAAATTTAGAAATGATAACGAAATAAATTAGAGAACAAGTAAGAATTGATCGAATCAATGATAGTATACATGATCGTGGAATTTTATTTGAGTATATAAGTTGATTGTGATTAAAGACGAAGATGAAGACGGATATAAGGGAGGAGTTTTTAAATTTTTAGTAGCCTTTGGGAAAAAAGTATATTCGAAATTTTCGAAAATGATTATACTAAAAATGAAACGCCTTTCTATACGAATTATCAAGAATTTAACGTAAATTCTTCATTCTTTATTTCTTAAATAATAAAAATATAAAATATATTGTAGACAAATGACGGCCAAAATGACGGATGACGAATGACGAATGAACGACGAGCGTTGACGGACGTTGATGGACGTTGACGGACGTTGACGGACGTTGACGGACACGACAACGGCGATAAATGAAAGAATCGAACGAACGTGAAGTATGAACATGCAAAAACGCATTTTTATCGCTCTATTAAATAAATTTACTTAGTTTATTATGCATTGATATGAATTTTAAATTATTTTAAAGAATTCTTTAATATCTTCTTGATAATTCATCGTTATTAGTGCTGTCACTAACGCTTTCGCTAACGGTTTTTCACTAAATTTCGACTTTAGTTTAATTATCAAATGGAATTATCAATTAATCTAAATATTTTACTTGGACCGTCGCCTGTTCGTCTAACTTCATTCGCAATTAGACAAATTCAGTTCGTTGTTTTTTTTTTCGCTTAATTTATATTATAAATTTTAATTTTAATTAATTGTTAATTATTATTAAATTTAATTTTTTTCTTATTTTCTTTTTATAATTTCAAGAAATTATCATTTAACAAAAGAAATTTGAATATTTGCAGTTAAATTCAAAATTGTGGATTTAAAACCGATAAAACTTTACTCTAAAAAAAAAAATTTATTTACATGGAAATAATAACGATTTCGTTAATCATAAAATCTATTTCGCTTCAGTAAACCTGAAATATGATTCTGTCCTATGGAACATTAACGAATAAATATTATATGCAAAGGTCAATAATAAATTCATACACAAATATTTCACAAATATTTTTTATAAAAAAATTCGTTTTGTAAAATTTACAAAAATTCCTCTTCATTGCGTTTTAGTAACAATTTATAGTATATATTTCAAATATTTTATAGTAATTAGTAACATTATATAATAATAGTGGTGTATTAAAAATAATAATAATAGTGATAAATAATAATAAATAATGAAAACAGTGAGTGATAACAAATATTAATAAAAAATATTAATAAATATTATAAAAAATAATGCTAATAACAATAATAATAAAAATTAGCAACATAATATAATAATTACTTAATATAATAATATAATTATGTAATGTATAATATAGCAATATTAACAACAATTAATATTTAATAATAATGAATAATAACAATAAATAATAATAGTAATGAATAATGATTAATAATAAATAATAATAGCAGTAATAGTAATAATAACAATAGTAATAATAATAATAACAATAATGATAATAATAGTGATAATGATAATTATAATTGTAAAGTATAAAATATTGATGAGAGAATTGTTGATCACAAAATATTTTAAAATTTTTTTCTAGCAAAATTTGCGACAAATAAATGAAAATTGAGTAGGAAATTGATATTTTATAGGAGTATTTATTACATATCGAATGAAAATGACCTTATTTACAAAATATTTCACTAATCAAATATTCAATAAGAAATTTTAGAAGTTTTGAAGTATTGCAAATATTTCTTCGATATCGAATTGGTTTAAATAATTTCATTACATTTGCACATTTAAAGAAAATATGAAATTGGAAGAGGAAAAATGAGAGATAAATTTAAGCAAATTTATTATTAAAAAGATTTTAGTAAAAATTTATTGAATTTAATTGATTTATTACCAAATTTTCATTCATATAATTTTTATTTATTCGTTAATTTATTAATTTTCATCGAAATTGAAATTTTAAATAAAAAAAAATAAAAATATATTTTTGCGAATAAAAATTCAAAATTTTTTTAAATACACGTTTGTATTCGTTTAAGATATGAGAAAAGAAAAGTTTTTTCAATTTTATTATAAATTTTATCATTTTTGTTTTGTCAAAAAATTGCATCATAAAATTCAAATTTTATCAAATGATAAACTCACTATTTATCATTTATCCTTATCAGCTAATTTTCTCCTAAAATAAATGAAAATTGTTGTCTCCATTTTTAATTAGACTATGTATAGCAAATTTTTGCAAACATATTATCATATACAAGAAATATTGTGCAGGTTGCTCCACATGTGTTCGATCACATATCCTTTCTGTAACGTCGGTTATCATTAGTTATCGTTTTATTTATCGCCGGTGTTCTTTTCGCAAAGATATTCTTGTAAATAGCTCCATTAGTTGTTGTCATTGCTAAAGCCTACTCTTGACAAAGAGAGCCCTTTCAGAAATAAAAATGATGCATGCGACTCATAAGCTAGTGGAGCGAACCTAATGAGAAATGAAGCTTCTGGAGAAAAACTGCTTATGCCTAACCTATAATATAGGTAATGGGTAATAAGGGTTAATTTTTTCAACCTGCATAGAAATATAGTTTTCGTAATTCAAAAACCTCGTAAAACTTATTTATTAAGGCAGTCAATCTACTAATTTCTAGGGTTATTTAAATAAGGCTTGCACATATTCTCACATCTCTTCTCACATAAAATATTTGATAAAAAATGAAAATTGCACGTGAATATTGAAAAATTACAATTAAAAATAGTTTTAAATTCGGTTTAATTTTTTTGCAAATTTTTTATTAAATAATAAAAATTACATAGCGTAAATAATAAAACAAATAACGAAATAAAAATTAATAAAAATAATTTATTTAACGCTAATTTTTGTAATTCTGTAATTTTTATTAACATTAGAAATAGAAATAAATTGGAAATTTATTTAAAATTATTTATAGCCTTTAAAATTATTAAAGAAATAATGTGATAAAAAGTTGGTGATGAAAATCGCGATAAATTATAATTAAATAATTGCAAATAATAAAATAATAATGAACATTATAATTAATATTAGTATTTTTAATATTTTAAAATATAAAGGAAAATTTTTAATAATTTGGTTTATTTGTTGAATTTTGCTCATTTCAAAATAATTTTTAAAGCAAATATTTCACGAAAATTTTGCAATTATTTTCAATTTCTCTTCTCGCGTTTTCTTAAGTAAATAATGCAATTTTCAAATTTATAGAAATTCCAAGCTATATGACGCTATCAATAATTTATCAATTTTATCAGCTCGTTCAATGCAATTACAAAAGCCACTAACATCCACAAGCAAACTAGTCAATTCTGATAATATTCTTTATCTTTTATGGGACGAGTAAGTTATGCTTTTTTTGCTAAAAGAAAAAGAATTTTATCGAAAAAAATTGTATCGCATAAAATCAAAGTTGCTAAGAGTTTATTTATGAAAAATTTTATTCGTTGGAATTATCAGTTAACTAAATGTTATGATTGATAAAATTTTGTTGATAAATTGAGATATTTTATGAAAAAAAAGATTTCTTAAAACAATCAAATTTAGCAATGAAGCGAAAATTCTCATCAAATATTAGCTAAAATCTAATTTCTAAAAAAAAGTGTTTAAAAAATTAAATGTTGGAAATAAGTCAAACTGTAAAAATTTTCAAACCATCGAACGATATGAATTTAAACAGTGTGGAAATGGTGCTGGGGCCGTCGATAATGCCGTCGATTTACCTATGGTTTTATGGCAAAATTTTAAATTTATGAAGCACACGCTATTTGCACCAAAAAAAAGAACCTAGTAGAAAAATGCCTATTCGAATAAAACCTTCCTCAATAATTAGTTAGTGGTACTGAATTGAGCCATGGTGGCTGTTCGCAGACATCTTTATTCTCAAATGACTCGCTAAGTGAAAAGTTCCATTTAATAACCAAAATGAAGTCCAATCAGAAATAGGTTATAGGTTATATTAAACGATAAAAAAAGGAAGGAACAAAGGAAAATTGAATATCGTATTAAATTTCAGCTACAATAATCTATAAATTTTTTAGATTTAAAAAAAATTTTTATAGCAATCAAGCGAAAAATTTTCAGATCCGAAAACACAAATCGTCTAATCGGTTTCCTTAAAATTGGCCATAAACAACTTTTCCTCTACGATAATCAAATGAAAACTTATCAAGGAACTTTAATTGCATTACTTGATTTTTATATTCATTTCTCTTGTCAGAGGAAAGGATTTGGCAAGAAATTATTTGACTTTATGCTTGAAAAGGAAAATGTCGAACCACATGAAATCGCTTTCGATAATCCATCCGGTTGCTTAAAATTTTTTCTTCGTTTTATTTTGTAAAATTTTTTATATAAGATTTTTAAAAAATAATTTTTAATTTTAGAATTAATAATAGTTTTTAAATATAAAAATTTTTCTATAAAATTTAAATATTAATTTAAATATAAATTATTTTACGATTTATATATATATTTGTAATAATTGAATTAGATCGATGATTTTATTATCAATTATTCAAGTTTGATTATCAATTATTGGAAATTATTTTGTATTATTTCATAAAATTTCATATTATTTATAACGTTGCTAAAAAAAAATATGATTTTTTCCAGTTACACTTTTATGTTTTTTGGCTAAAAAATATGGTCTAACGAATCCGATTTGGCAAAATACGAATTTTGTAGTTTTTCCGGATCTTTTCAAATCAAACGAAATGGATGGTCTGATATTTATTTCGTTTTTTTTTCGTTGAATAAATATATTGAAAATGATAAGAATTTAGTTGTTCCGTGTGGACAAAATTGATATTTTTTACGTTTTTTTTAGCAATATTTAAAAATGATTATTTCAACTTTAAATCAGAATAAATTTTGATTCTGTGACGAAATTAAGCAAATGTTTGGTGTTCACAGCTTCAAATTATGTTTCCGCTGGTTGCCAGCACATTTAGGAATTTTTGCCAGAAAGTCAACTTAAGCGGTGGAAACTATATAGCTTTCCCGATTTTCTAATAATTTTTTTAAGTTTCGTTCATGTCGAAGACCGAAGCAAAGTCCCTATCTCTCCGCATAGCGATCTGAACCACTAATAAGTTTTTCGCCTATTCCTACCCTTTATTTCTTCATCATATCAAGAAATTTGAAGTGATGTAGAGTCGACTATAAGTCGAATAAGTTCTACGTTTCATTGTAAATTTCAGGAAATAAAGTTCCTGAAGGATGGACTCGTCAATCCATTCCACAACCATTGGGCATTTCGACTACGCATTGTTCAAATAATGGCGAGTTTTCACTCCTAAATCTATTTTTTTATTTTAAAAAGCGTTAGAGATTTTAATATTTGATAATTGTGGAATTAATAAACCATTAAATTTCCTATTCTAGAAATTATATTCACCTCACATGAACTGTTAAGGAGATAAGAATAAGGAGAAATTCACCTGAAATGCTTTCCCGCTGACTGATAAGTATGACTGATATTATCATTTTAAGCCTCGTTTTTTTTTGCAAGAACAAAAGTTAAAAATTTTTTCTGCACTCTTTGGATAAAATATAAAAATATGGATATATTAATAATATTTATATATTTTAATTCTCAATATTTTATCTCATTTTTGATAAAATTCTTCTCGATTCGCCCGGATTTCTCGATTTATTCATCAAATTCTATAAGGCAGTAACGACATTTAACGTAAAATTAAGTATATTGTTGGAATTTACAGAGAAATGTATAAGAAATATGGAAGATTCTATGGCGTCGGACTCAAGTGCTGCAAGTCGTTCAAATGAAGCTCGACTAAGAAAAGCTCATATTTTAAGCAGCAAACCATTATGGTAGATGGACGGCGCCCTTTTAAAATCTTTTCGTCTAATTTGCATTTTATAAATAAAACTTTATAATTTCTATATTTTAAATATAAATTTAAATAAATATCAATTTTTGAATTAATTAATTCTTATAATTCTTGAATTAATTAATTATAAGTCTAATCATTGGAATTAAATTTTAAGCAGAATTTTTTTGAAAAAAATTTTTTTAATTACAAAAATCCTAAAATTTTATTAAAAAATTTTTATACAAACGTGAATTTTAATAGATTTTACAATAATCAATTATTTATGAAAATATTTTAAAATATTTTTAAATAAAATCAAAATTTATTAAATTTTAAAATATTTTTTAAATAAAATCACAAAATTTATTAAATTTAATTTCGAAACTTTCGAAAATAATTTTAATTTCGACATTTAAAAATACGAATAATTCGCTTAATAATTCATTCACTGCAATATATTTTGCTTTTTTTTTGCTAAAATTTATTCATTTATTACGCTTTTCCCTTTGTAATAATAATAAAAATAATTAAAATTTGTAGTTGTACAACTTGTAAAACACGAAACAAAATTACTAGTAAAAAATACTTTGCCACAAAAAATGCCGCTAAACTCGGAGGAAATCTTTGTGGGCTCGCATATGGATCCCCTTCAAATCGCTACCTCTTGAACTTTTAAATTAACGATATGTTATGGTACTTCACAGAGGTCAAAATCATTAGAACGAAAAACTATCTTATAAGTATAAATTTATTAGATTTTAAATAAGCATTCGGATTTGCAAGATTATTAACTTAACTTAAGAAAAACCCCTTACAACCCCAACTCTACCATTAATAGCCTTTTTGATCCATAAATCATATTTCATAAATTTTTTTGGTAATTTTATTAAAAATTAGATCATTTTCCAGAAAAAAAAATTTGCTGTTAAAAAAAATTTTTCATTAGCATTATACATCGAATAAATTATTATTGTTCTGGAAAGTAATAGAGAAATATGCTTTGCTTCTTTCGTTCTGTAAAATCCGTAAAAACGTGCAAATTTTGATAATCTAAAATATTACATAAAGTAATGGAAACGAAGATAAGCGAATTTACACTTGTGCAAGGAACACAACTGCACCCATGCTGATTGCCGCCAACATATGTTTCCTTTTTTTCATAAATGATGTCTCCTTTACAAAAACTGCGGTGATTGTTGGTAACTGTGGTAATAGATATATATATATATATATATATATCCATTCAATATGAAAGAAGTTGAAAGATGACGAAATTTAGCCATTAAATCCAATTCCATGACTAATGGCAATGCTCATGGCTAATAAATTAATGCCCGCCTTGCTAAATTGAATTATTTCGAGAAAAGCAAGGAACGTTACAAAATTTTCGCCGTTCAACTAATGAATAATTCAAGAAAGCTTGACTTAAAGCTGATACAATTAGCTATAATCCCATAATTATAGATAGATGTTAAATTAGCAAATTATAAAAATTCAAAATTTCAATTTCTAACGGGAAACAAATCATCGAAATCTATAAAAGCAATCGATTTTATCGATAAAAAAAAAGTTAGCAAATAAAAATAGTCGAGTTTGTTATAAAAACTAATGAAAATATTAAATAAACATTTATTTATCATTTATTCATTTATCATTTATCGTTTATCATATCATTTATTCACTGGAATCAAAAAACCTTCAAAACCTTAAAAAAAAAAGGTTATTTTATATAAAAACAAAGCTCTAAACGATTCATCTGCCATTGATTCGAATTTCTGATAAATAAATTCATTTAGTAACAAGAAAACTTAACCAGCCTTTATAAAAAATATTAAAATACAATTTTGAAAATAATTAAATGAATCATTATTTCCATTAAATAAAATGAATAAGCAAAGAAATTCACTGAAAATCACCAATGTATTATGATTGACAAAATTACATCGAAGAATAAATTAATGTAATGAACTTGAAGTTCAAAGGCACTAATTATGATCATCCTTTTGATAATTGAACGGAAAGCCAATCGAAACCTTCATAGAGTCCATGACCAGCAGTTGCGCACGCTGCTTGAATATACCACTGAAAAAAAATTTCAGTGAAAATAATTTGATAATTTTTTTTCGTAAGGGTACCAAGAGAATAATTTAGAACAAAAAATAGTGATAAAAATAAAAGCTGAATAATCGAACCTGACGAGATCGTAAATTATGAAGAGCTAGCTTTTCCGTTAATTCAGCGGCAGTCATTGCATTCGGTAGATCTTGTTTATTGGCAAAAATTAGTAATATAGCATCTCGCAGTTCATCCTAAACCATTCATTTTATCAATTTCATTGTTTCATTTTTCATTTCAATATTTATGAATCTGCACTCTACAACAGCTAAAAACAATAAATGGCAAAAATCAAGCATAAGCCTTTAAATTTAAAAAAATACCCCATGACCATGAAAAAAAGAATGATCATAATTTTTTTTTGCGAATTATCATTTTAATGAAATTCATTTTTTTTGTAAAGAGTCCTCACCATTACTGGTTAAAGTCGCTCCACTGGCTTATTCGCATTGGACAATATGCCAGGGAGTCTCTTGGCGATAGAAATACATTACTCGCATTATTAGGATTTTTGTTTACTCCTGCGAGGAATCAAACCTCAACATCGGCGCTCCCAACTGAGCAACAACTCACTGAGCCATTTTACCCCGAATGAAATCCAATTTTTTTTTAAATTGACATCATAGATCTAAACTAAAATTCTAAAAGAACTAACTTCCTCCAACATTTTGTGCAGTTCGCGACAACTTTCTTCAATGCGCTCGCGATCATTACTGTCAACCACAAATATTAATCCCTAAAACAATTATAAATAATTATATAAAATAATTAAATAAAAATGCAAAAACAAACGATAAATAAATAAAACATGAAGGAAAAAAGGAAAGAACTGCACGAAAAACAATAAAAAAATAAAATAAAAATAAAAATATTAAATAAGATTAAATCACAAGCAATTATAATTCACCAGCTTTTTATGATCCGCTTACTATCAAATGAAAATGTAACCTGGGTATTTTGAAAATAATGTCTCCACAATGGCCTAATTTTATCTTGACCACCCACATCCCAAACCGTGAACGATATATTTTTATATTCAACCGTCTCGACATTAAATCCTGAAATGGAAAATAAAAAAAATCAAAAATAAAATTATTTAAGAAAAAAGAAATTTAAAGCAACTATTTTCTTAAAAATTTCTTAAACAGGATGATGCTTTTGAAAATTTCCACAATAGGATGGCCAAATATGCTAGAAATTATCGAAAATTTTTTAAAACCCTGTTGAGTTAATCTAATAACGAATGAAATACACTCAACTACTTAATTTAGTCGATCGCTTCACTGTTAACTCTTATTTTTACGAAATTCCGCACAAAATGTTATCATTTTGTTATCATTTTAAACTTAAAAAAACAAGGAGGAATAGTCAAACACTATGGTTGTTTGATTTCGCATTCGATTCATAAATAAACCCATCATTACATATTCTTACTGATAAGAAACTTCCCGACAAAAAATTTCTAATCATAAACGGCGTAGCTAACCTAATTAAAAATGAGCAGAGAGTGCACTTTACTTTTTGCTAAAAAAAAAAATTCAAAAAACTTTTACAGGCTTTTTTTCAAATAGTTTTTATATGATACACTATCAATTTCAATTCAATTAAATGAAAAATAAATAAACTATCAAAAAATCAAAATAAACCAATAGTGGGAATCGTGGTAACAATTTCACCCAACTTCATTTTATATAAGATAGTTGTCTTGCCAGCCGCGTCCAAACCGACCATTAAAATTCGAACTTGTTTCTTTCCAAAGAGACGTCCAAATAATCCTGATATTGTCAATCCCATCACCTAAAAATATTTATATGACATATTTATATTGAACGGAAATTGTGAACGAACGAATCGAACGAATGTACGTGCAGTTTTCAAATAATCACTTTTTTTTTTAAAAAGCCCTCACCATTTCTAATTAAACTCACTCCATTGGTTTCTCGTACTAGAGATATATGCCAAGCAGCCACCAGCATCATCCGCAATTTTCGGTGGATTTAGTTCTGCGAGGAAGAGAACCTCAGCATCGACGCTTCGAATCGAGCAATAACCCACTCAGCATTCTACTCCCTTCTCAAATAATCACTATGGAATGTGGAATGAGCAAAATCAGAAATACTATTAGAGAATAATAAAAAAGAATTTAGAAAGCTGTCTTCTGCCAAACTAGCCATCCTTCAATGAAATGACAATAGACTGACGGTATCGGCGCTCAAGTAGGTAGTTGCAATCTTTCAAACAAAGCGATTGGTGTTGACGAATCTCAACCTTTACTTCTATGGCCAAGTGGCTTCCTAATAAAAATTTGCCTGCTATCAAATCAAATGAAGTGGGCCCAGCAAAAAACTGTGAAAATCGCTCTTAGAAAGAAAAATATTGATTGTATCACCAAATATTTATATAAAATATTTATGTTAATATAATATTAAATATATATATATATATATATAAATCTTAACAATGAACGAAGGCGTATTGATCTTGCGCTAAAGCCAAATCCATTATAGTACCAATAATAGTACCAAAAAGCCAAGAGTAAGTGGTACCAAGCTGATCTGATGAAATATCCAATGAGGACAGATCGATTACCACAAAATGTAAACGATGGAAATTTTGCAGATTTCAAATCTGTGGAAGCGATTTAGGAGTGAGGAACTATAGTCATGGTACTTATTAAGAGATTAAGATAGAAGAAATTAGCCACTTCTAACCTACGATGGTTGCGACTACAATAATTTAATGATCCGTTCCGTTAAATCCCATTTCATTTAAACCAGTCATTAATCTCCTTGCCTTATCTTCGATACTACCAATTCAACTGGCACCTCGTTCACCCCAGCAGCTGATCTCCAACGGGAACTCAACCCGTCCCACATACCACCTCCCTCCCCCCTCGCTCCCTCCCCCCCTCCTATCCAAGTAAAAAAAAACAAACAATTTTTCAGTGAAAATACGTGCATGAACTGACACGTACATGCGATCATCTGCATTTCTAAATTTGTCAGCTGCGGACTTTTCCTTATTTTCAATATTTAAATTCAGCGTTCAAATTTGGAATTTTTAAAAATTTATATTAATTAATATTTTATTAATATAAAATAATTGAATATTGCAAAAAGGTGAACTATTTCAGTGAATTTTTTATTGCTTTTTTCTCCGATTTTTGTTTTTTCAACAAGCAAAATACGCTTTATTAGTTATATTTTTCGCTATTAATTTATTTATTTTTATTTATTATTTTTATTTATTTTTTATTTTTGTTGTTATTTTTATTATTATAAGTTATTTTTTATCGTTTAATTAATGAATTGTTTTTCTACGGGCATTCATTCACTTCCGGCTAGGCTCATTGCACTAGCTTGTTAGGCCATGCGGATTTATCTTTCCAGGGAGTCAGTTGAGGCGATAGAAATACGGATGAGCCGTCAGCATAGTTCGGATTTTCTGCAATAATAGGTTTACTTCTGTTGAGAATAGGAAAATTTCTAGTATTGGCATTTTTTTGAAATATTAATTGTAAATTAATTATAAATAATTTTGTAGGCGTAAGTAGTTTTGCTATTATTTCAGTCGATCGATAGTAAAATAAGGAAAATAAAAGTTTATTTTTTATCTATCGATGAAAATAAATTATCATCTTTTTAGTGATTTTATATCACTTCATTCTCATAAAATTATTTGGAACGCTATTGCTGAGATTTGGCTTTTCAGCAACGCCTATTGTTCATATTTGGCTTAACGAAAATGCTTATTGAGATTCGATACATATATTTTTCATGAATATGCGGTGAACAGCGAGAGCCAAGCCTCAAAAATAATTCAACGAATTCGTATTTTTCATTGAAAAATTACTGATTAAATGAAAAATGAGTTAATATTTATTTATTATTTAATATTTATATTTAATACGAATTCTCCCTTATATTTAATATTTATATATGAATATTTAATTAATATTTTTTTTGGTAGTTGGTTGGTTACGAATGATTATAGTGACTAGCCAAGTGACTTTTTGAAAAAATTTGCCTATTCCAACAAATTAGTTGGATTAGCCTAATTAGAAATGATCAGCGCTCTTAGAAAATAATCAAATAACTATTGGAAAATTAGAAAAGAAAACTAAAACGTGACCGTTTTTTTTTGAAAAAATTAATTTCCAATTAAATTTTTAAAAATTTATGGAAAAAATTGTTTATTTTAAATAAAAACAAAATGCTTTTTTTTAATCCTTTAAAATTTAAAAAATTTTTAAATTCAGTGAAAATTTTGAATTCGTAAATTGTATTGAATTTTTTTCAAATAATTTATTTTTTTATTGGTTTTTTTAATTTTTTAAAACCAATATTATAGAATTTATTTCAGTGATTTTAGTAATATTTCTTGATAATTTTTTTTTCTTGCCATTTATGATTTATATAAATATGGAAATTTCCAATCCATTTTAAAGCTTATTTCATCCTTGTTTGATTAAAAAAAATTAGCGATAAAAAAATTTAAACTGAATAACACTAAAATATTTTTGACATTTTAAAATAATAAAATTTTTATTCATATCAAATGAGCGATTCTTTCAAAAATGACCGAAAATTTCGATGCGGATTTCAATGATCCAGTGGTGATTTTTAGTGAACCATTTAAATAGGCTTGTACAGGTGAAATTTTTTGTTTAATTATTTGGCGAAGAGTTTCTTGATTTAATTCAAAAACAACATCCGCACCTGCATACAATCCTCGCATACATTTCCCTGAACCATTTTTTAAATTCAAATAAAAATCACCGAAATCTTTACAACGAATTTGAAATACTTGTCCAATTGTTGTCACTAAACGTTCATCAATTATCATCGAAAGATAATTGATCAGTTCATCGATATTAATCTCTGTTTTATTTGTATTTTTAAATTCTACATTATTAGGTACTGTTGATGAGAACTGTATGAGATCTTCGCTTGGATTTTCCTCCTGTTTCGATTCATATTGTTGCTGCTGTTGTTGTTGTTCAGCGATGAATTCGTGAGCTGTTTTGGAAAGTGTTCCGAGAATTTGTGATCCAAATTCGGATTTAAGTATCTAAAGTTAGAATTAAATGATATGAAATACCATCGAGCTTTTCGTTTTTTTTTTATAGTACATTAATAAATAATTAATTAATAATAAATAAATAAATAATTATGGCCTTGTTTAAAAATGAATTTGAAAATGTATGCAAAATAAAAATGAATTTTTTTATTAATTTTTGTTGAAAAAATTATCAGTTATAGAATCTACCTTATTGAATAAGTTAAGTGCCATATTTTCACCTTCTTTAATAACTTTAATATCCGATAATTCAATTTTAATAACTTCGACACCCCATGAAGAAGTGATTTCACCAAGTTCATCCTTGTTTTGATAAAATTTTTTATTAAATTTATTAGAAAACATTTATTTCTTTTCTTTTTCATATTTTTATATTTATTTAATATCCATTGTATAAAGAAAATTTATTTTTAATCGAATTTTCTTTTTTGAAAATTTTATTTTTTAAAATTTTAAAAATTTATTTTTCGAAAAGAAGGAAGAAAAAGCGCAGATAGAAGTTCTATATAAAAATTTTTTACCTTTAAATTTTCAGATAACGCTTTACGACCATTTCCGCTAATAATATCGTTAACTTGTCGTTTACTTGTGATTCGATATAAAATCGTTATAGCTAAAATTCTTGTCGATTGATTCCTTTCTTGAACAGCACAAACTGCTGCTAATGCATCTTTCACCTGTTAAATTTTAATTAATTCCTTAATTTTAATAAGATAATTTCATAATTAATAATTTTAGAAGAAAAAAATTTTTTACAAATTTTTAGAAATAATTTTTAAAAATTTTTAAAATTTTTTATTAAAATTTTATTTTATGATTATGAATTATTTAGTATATACTTGTAGAAAAACAGTTGCACCAAGTTCGACAAGTCCTCTATCGATTGTAATAACTTGTATAGGTGGTACGTTGAACGCATTTACGCGAAGATCAATCTTTGTACATTTATCAATGCATGGAAAAATAACAGTTGCACCAGGTCCACGAATTTTCTGGGCTCTTCCAAGTCGAAGAACTACGAGTCGTTCGCAATCAGAGACAAACTGGAGAATTTTTTAAAAGATGTTGTTGAATTAATTATTAGTTAGCTTTATTATTAATTATTAGTTAGTTAGCTTTTGCATTATTTCTTGTTCGACTGAATCCATTGATTGTGATTGGGGTTGAGAAATTTCTAAAAATTTATTATCGAATTTTAAAAATAAAAAAAAAGAACCTTAAGTGAAAAAAAGAGTGATAAGGGAAGCGTAAAAATAAATATGGTGAATGATAGCATTAAAAAGAACAATTCAACAAGTGATATGAATATATTTCCCTTATCACGGTCCTCTATTTGCTCTTCCCATGCTTCATTTGAATACGTATATTTCTTATAGCGAGGACCATTCTGAAAGGCAGAACATTGGTACTTTTGTGGTATTTAGCGTATCACTATATCGTGAACAAATAAACAACAAACCTGAATTGGATATCGTTTTGGTGCTTCATAACCCATTTTATCAATATCATTATAATCAGCATATGTAAATGCCGATTTATACTTATATTTCCAGTCATCGTCATTTTTTTTTTCATTTAAAGCCGTATATTCTATTCGATTCATCATTTACTATATTATCATATTAGTGATAATTGTGATTGTAAATGATAAAAAAATTGAAAGAAATCGCAATTGATCAATGAGTAATAATTATATATATAATTATAAAAGTTGCACTTATTATAATTATTGTTATCAATTAGTTGCATGTTCTTTCAATAAGAGATTAAACATCTGTCCACTGATACGAATAAATTTTTCATTAAAAATAAAATCTAAGTAATAATAATTTTAAGCAGATAGGTTTTAGCAGATAGATTATTTGAGAGTGAAATGATAATGATAATAGGAAATGATAATGGTATTAGAAATTGGATAAGATATTGAAGAAATATAGATAGTATAGTTAGGCCTATAGAAATTAATTTTGCTAGGGCATGCGTTGTTGTTGCTACTACTGTTGCTGCTGCTCTTGCTGTTATTACTGCGTTTGTTAACGAAGATCAATACTGATGAAGCGTCCGTATTTGCTATTTCTTATCGAATAATATGACTATCATAGGCTTTTCTAGGCCATCATTTATAGGCTATTCGAGTTTACCTACCATCAAAATTGCGATTCGATGATTTTTATGAAAATAAAAATGAAAACTTGGCATGAAAAATTTTTGGTTTGGTTTAATAGGTCCCACTGGTGGTTTAATAGGTCCCACTGGCTACTCTTATAGTAATGTGGTACTCTCAAGCGATCCCCGATCCGTGCCGTGCCTCACTCAAATTAATTAGAGTCCTCCAATATAAGCTTTTATTCTAGGTCGTCGTTAGATCGTTGGATCTGCTATACCTGTTTAAAATCATTTTGTTAGAACAAATATCAATACTGCATCTTATAAATTTTTTGATAACATCCAACATTAAATTGAATTTTATCATCAAAAGATCTCAAAAATAAAAATTGTATTTTACGAGCTCAAGCGAAGCCTCGAGAATTCGCCCTCTCTATAAAGCCAATGAGAGAGAAAAGATTCCAAGCAACACCTGCTTTCTTTTTTTTTTTTTTTTTAAGAGCGCTCACCATTTGTGATTTTGGCTCGTTCCATTCCTAGAAGAGAAATCAATTGGTGATAGAACCACAGGTGAATCGCCATTAAATGTAGTTTTCGAATGATTTTTCTTATTTCTTAAAACTTAAAAAACGTAATTTTTTTTTTTTTTTTGCTGTATTTTTTCATCGTTCAACCTTTTCCTATACCCTTTAACCTTTGAATCAATTTGAATATAGCTAAAGATTTCGCTAAAAATTTATATGCCGTAAAAGCCAAGTCAAACCAAATATCTCAACGATTGTAGCGATAAATTATTAGAACGCGACTAATCCCGTGAAAATCCGTGAAAAAACTACGACAACAACGTGCACTACGACAACAAACAAACGTAGATGAAATTCGATTTTATGCAAAAAACAAAAAACAAAAAAACAGCACCATTAAAATTCAACCGAGAAACCGATGAACACCAATATAAACTAATAAATTAACACACTTTCCTCTCGTTTCACTTTTTTCACCAATAATCCAAACAAACTTCTAAAATCGCCCTTTTAATATATTCAAATATTAATGCAATATTAATAAATTGCTAAATAATTTTTATGCAATTTTTATTTCTTAGTGTTTTTCGAAAATTTCCTACATTCCATATTGATAGTTATTTTCATTTTCGAAAAATAATATTTTCTCATAGATCCAATTCATTTTTCCAAAAAAAACGTTTTTGGTTGCTTACCAAAGCGAATGGTCAACTCCTAATGCGATTTGGGGGTGGGGGGGGAGGGGGGAAAGCGATGTGTACTATTTCAGCAGTACTCTAACTATTCTTTTTTTTTTATGAGGAATCGAAGCCATGCTATATTACTTTTAGCCATGAGACTTACTCTCGTCTTCCATGGCTTTCATAATGATCACGCTTATTGTATATGTAAACTTTTTACTCAGGCAAGTACAATTATACTTTTCCAATAGAAATAAAAAATTAAACTCACAGGATGATCGATGCAGCATTAGTTTTCAGAAAGCCAAATCAACCATAATAAAAATATGGAAAACATCCATAAATATTAGTGATATCAATGATACTCACTAATATTGCTGAGTTTTTCACGAAAAATTGAATGACTTAACAGGAAATAATAAAACTTATCAAAATATGAGTGAACGCATTGTTAAAGCCCCATTGTTAAATAAGTGATAAACATAGGCTTATGTGCACTATTCGAAATCACTATATGAGATAATAAATATGAAAATCCCATTCTAAAAATCGAGCAATAACAATATTTTGCGAACACCAACAACAAGATGATATTTTAAGGCATTTTAAAAATATTCAATGAACAACAAGATGCAGTTTTATTTAGCTCGTTCTTCTCGCCTAACAACTTCCTTCATATCTTCTTTCTTTTCGTTTTCATTCTTCTTTTTTGCTGTTTTGTTGTTCGCATGGTCAGCAATTGATGATTTTTCACCTTTATCTTTGCCTGCATTTGGAGTATTCAGTTGTTTATTTGTATTAATTTTAGTTTCATTCTCTTCATTCGATATGGCAGACTTATCATCGGCTTTTTTTTCGCCACCATTCTTTTTCTTTTTAGGCTTCAAAGAGGCGGTAAGTAATGCATTTATCTAAAATATAAAAATAATATAAAAATCACTGCAAAGTAAGTAAGTATAAAAATGATAATTTATGATAAATTATATCGAAGAAGACAAAACAAAAATTTATACCTCAGGGTCTATTATTTTTACATCACTTTCAATCAAATCCATATCAAGAGGTAATCCTGTGATTTTCAAAATACCATTGGGCATTATCAAAGCTGTGCATTTAAACTGAGCAACGTATTCTCCATCTCTTTCATATAATACCTAAAATTCAAATTCTTCAACTAATTTCACTGCTACATAATTGTTTCCAACAAAAGATTATTAATCTTTAATTTATACTTATGGATTTAGCAATGCAACCAAAAAAATTGATTTTATATGAAGAAAATGACAACAATTAAAAAAGAATTGCAAAACCAAATAAAACTATGGAATGAACAGTTATTACTTGGTAAGGGCGCAAAAGCCCATGACGTTCACATTCGACAACACCTAGTTTTGCTTGTTTCTCATCTTCAAATGAACGTAACGTAAATGGCATACTACCGTATTTATTTGTTGCCTGTGAGTAAAATATCCTGAAGCCTTATTATAGATGAAATGAAAGATAAATATTAAATATTTTGAATGATCTCACCAATGATAAAATATTAAAGATGAATGGTAGCTACCCACTTTCCTTTCAAACAAATCACACTACACCCAATCAACTTCACTGTCCCCTCGAATTTTTAAATATTTTTATCTGCAGTTATATTTTTAAGTATAAAAAATATCTATCATATTAACCTGGCAGTTTTCATTTTCAGCGAATATATGTCTTCAGCCTTTTTATAAACAGTTGTGCGAGCATCTTGTGGTCGAGCTCTACCTGAATGCACTTACGAATAATTTGAGAATATAATTTTAAAATAAAACATTAATAATAGCGGAAATGGCAACCACTTATTAAAAATAGTAAACAACTAACCGTCACCAGTGCTCATCATAATATCTATTGCATATGCCTCATGTTTCTCAAAAGTACATTTAGGCAATTCCTTTTGCTTTTCACCAGGATTCTGTATAATTTCCTTCCCTCCATCAATTTTATTCTTTTCTAACTGATGTGATAATACATTTTCAATTGGCTTAACCTGCAGTTATATTATATTATTATATTATAAATTTTAGGATTTTAAAAATGATTATGAAGACTGCATAAACTATAAATTTTTTACAAATATTTTTTAACTTACTGAATAAACAGCCGCAATTCTGTCAATCATATCAGTGATCTGGAAGTTTTTATAAAGTCCCGGACGTAACATACGTAATACTACTTCCATTGCATGATAAGATGCTAGCATTACATTTGCCTTATTTCCTACTACTTTATTATCCTGGAAATATACGAAAAATAATAAAGTAAAAATAATAAAATAATAAAGTAAAGAAAATGATATTTCAGCCATTTTAACGGTTTTATCAAAAAAATATTACATGGGTCGCACCGACAACAACAGTATGAGCAACATTGGCAACAAAGCCGTCAACATGAGCACCAAGATCAATTTTAACCATTTGGCCATCCTTTAAACAAACTGGTGGATCACTGCGTAGTGGAGAATAATGACAAATACAGTTATCGACAGATATACATGTCGGCATAGCAATACCTTCAAAATAAAACATCATAAAGATAAAAGATATTAAGATATTTAATTAAAATAACTAACTCGAATCAGAAAAAAGAAAAGGTTACCAGCACAGCAGTGCAATTGAAATGAAATAAATGGCAAAAGACCAGCTTATAATGTAAGATTTGAGATTTTAAACCATCTAATCTAATTAAAATTCATTAAAAGATGGAAGCATAAATTTAATCTTATAAGCCACAACTACTTTAGCTTTTTCGTAATTAAGCCTTCTATATTTCAATGATGCTAATCGAATTATTTTTAGGTCTAAGAACAATAAAAATCAGACGAGTGAAGAACTTCTAAACTAAGTACTTTTATCAGTGTTCTTACTTACCCTATTTCTACAAGACGTGTGGGTTCACCTTGAGTTTCGTTCGAGTTTAATCCACCGCAAGAATAAAAATCTGGGTGGTGTTCGCAAAAAACTTGCACTTCTATGTCTAAGTGACTCGCTATCGAAACTTCTAAGCGTATTAGTTTTATTGAGTTCAGCTCTAAGAAAAATATTCTGGAACATGAAGAAAAAGAAAGACCAAAGGAAGACCCTCTAAATTTTGAAAAATTCGAAAAATTCACTATTAATAAAAATTTCCAGATAGAGATTTTATCGACTTTAGGATAACCACAAATATGAGGTGAGAGAATAAATCTACATTATATACAAGCAGAAGCATTCTGAGAATAAAACAATTCGCAATCTGAGAAGAATGATGAATCACTATGTTCATTAAAAAATACTTTAAAAAACCAGGAAAGGATTGGATCTTAAGAAATCTTTCATTAATTCTAATAAGAATTTGAAATTCCATCATTTAACTCATACTACCTGCTTTCTATCGATAATTAAATCATCTACGAAAGTAATTAATTCCACTGCAAATTTTTACAAGTAAAATAAAAAAATATACAAATAAAAATAAATAACAAATAAAAACCTTTCTGTAACTCTTTTTCTTTCTTAAAAATTTTTGATACTCGATCTTCGATTATTTTATTCCCTAAATCACATAAAAATCCAACTTCTACACCACTTTTCACTTCTTTTATTATTTCCTGAAAAAAAAATTTATTAGTAAAATTTTTTTTCAAATTATTAGGGAAATTTTTTTTATTAATAGATATTATATTTTTATTTGTGCAAAAAAAAGGTTAACCTTCAAAGCAAAATTAACAATGTCAGCCGCTGTTGCATATTTTGTAACTACAAGATCATTTGACAAACTATCTGACTGTTGTTCATCATCACTATGTTCAGTACTTTCGCTAACCTGCTTCGGTTTACTTGTCATAATTGCAAATCTGCATTAATTAAATAGGAAAAAATTTTGCAAAAATAAAAAAAAATGAGCAACAAAGAAAAGATATTAATAAAAATGCGACTCTGAAGATTGATTCTTTAATACAAATTTCTTCCTAGAAATCCTTATTTCCTTTCGGTTCATCCGTCTCTTTTTTTCCAGTTAGCTTGTAGCTTTGAATTTCATTTACCATTTTTGCAAAATTTTACGCTTTACCTTTATAATGAACATTTTTCAGTTAACAAATTTGAATGAAAATGATCTGAAAAAGGATTTGGACAAGAAACTCTAGAAAGCAAGAATAATTAACTAGAGAATAGAAATGGCGCAATGAACTGTCTCGAAACGCTAGGATGCCATTCTGTAGAAGTCGACCTGTTTTTCAAAAATCCACTTGATGCTAGCGACTCATTTATTTTTCTTTGTATTTCTGTCGTCAAATGGCTGCATGGCAAAATTAGGCTCATTCTGCTCAGATAATCTAGCAAAACGACCTCAATTAGTTGAAATGAAAATATTCTAACGAATTCAAATGCAATATAACAAAGTTCAATGATAATAGGTTTCTAAATAGGATAACAGATTAAGAGATATAAAAACTGGAAAAATTTAAAAAACATCGTTGTAATCTAAAATCGTTGATTGTAATCGTTGATCTTACAAAATCAATTTGCGTTTAAAACTATAAAATATTTATAATCACTTCAGATTGCTCAATTTAAACTATGATACCGAATTTCATAATTGAAAATTGTTGCATATATTTTATACATATATGTAAATATATATAATTTTTCCATGATTTCTCAGCGTGCTTGTCTTAAAAATAAAGTACTCTAATTTTTATGGCCCTCAAACCGGCCCTCTCTATGGAACCTTTCGGATCCATAGGGATTTCCCATGTATAGTGACCAATTTCAAATATTAAATCATAATGATTATTTTATGCAGTTTATAGAACCATTTATAATCATTTTTTGAAATTTCTTAGGTGGAAAAATTTAATAATTTAAAATTTGAAAATAATGCATCAGTATTCAATAGATTTCTATAGAATCATTTAGGGTTTAAATGCATATAAAAAATGCAATATAAATGTATAAAAAATTTGATCACCGCTCTAATCATTTAATTCTTAATTTTTCCAAAAAATAAGAAGAAAATGTTTAAGAAAAAACAAAGCTTAAAAATTTATGAAAAAAATAATTATTTTTATAAAATTATTATCGAAAAGTTTAAAAAAAAAATATTTTGCATGAAAAATTAAGGTAAAAAATGAAATATGAAAGAAAAGAAACATTTTATGAAAATACAAAAAAATTTAATTTTTAAAAAAATCTTAAAAATTTTAAAAAAATGCAAATTTATAAAAATAAAATGGAAAATAAAAGGACAACTCGGAAGTAAACATAATAAAATGAAAAATTAAGAATTTAATTTTTAAAAATTTGAATAAAGATAGACCGCCATCCACTGATGTTTCTTGAAAATAGCTTCACTACCGTCGATGGAACGACCTCGACTTTATCTCTCAATAAGACAATTTAAGTCACTAATACATTCAGCTATCCTAAAACACCCCCTTCTTTAGAAATTATTTTTAGATTGCCGCGAATAAATAATCTTCCAGCGTAACTCCATCACAAAAAACCACAATCACTCGCAATAATTCAACTTCGCTCACCTCCTTCGCTTATAAACTCGTGAGAAGCGCTTCCATTCCCCTCTGAACCCCTTTCCTTCCACCTTATCCCCCAATAAATGCCCAAACTAGTACCACAAAATAAAGAATATCAATATTTGGAAGTGTTCCAATATAGCAAACATATTATGTTTAAAAATTTTGGTAAAATTCGGCTAATAAAGGATTATTCAACCACCAATATAAAATTCGATACTCGATCGCAATAATTTTTTTTATTTTTATTTATTCAGAAATATTATTATAAAATATTATTGTTAGAAAATATTTTTAAAAAATCCAGAAATACGAAAAAAATGCAAAAAAATTGCAATAGAATAATGCAACAATAGAGAGTGAAAAAAACAAAGAGAATATAAAATAAAAAACTAAAATAAAATCAAATAAAAAACAAAAAAACAAAAAATATAAAAAAATATAAAATACAAAAAAAAAGCAATGTATTTGCGGATAAAATTTATGCTAAATAATTTTACGGATGACCTTATTTTTATTTTTTTTACTTTTTTTTAAAAATATTTTTATAGATATTTTTTTTAAGAGCACTCACCACTACTGGTTAGATTCGCTCTTCTGGCTTGTCGTATCATTAGACAAAAGAGTGCTATGACGATAGAAGTATAGATAATTCGCCAGCATCAGCCAGATTTTTGAACAATAGGTTTATTCCGGCGAGGAATAGAACCTCAGTTTTGGCACTCTGAATTGAGTAAGAACCCACTAAGCCTTTCTATTTCTTAGTGATATGATAAGAGATAGTAAAATGAAAAAATTATTTTGAAGGTGATATATTTTCAGAGAAAATTATGTAGAATTTCAGTGTTTTTGGACGGATTCATTCTTTTCTGCAGGAACGGTTTTTAAATGGTTTAATATTAAATATTTTGACATTTAATATATTATATAATATATATTTTGTTTATATTTTAATATTTATAATATATATTTTAATATAATAAATAAAATATTATTTAATATAATAAATAAAATAAAATATTATTTAATATAATAAAAATATTTAATATAATAAATAAAATAAATAAATATTAAATATTTTTTAAACTTTTCAAATTTTTTTTGCCTTATTTAAAATATATGAATTAATAAAATTAAAAAAAAATTTAATAAAAATTATAAAAAAAGAAGTTAGAAGAATTTTAAAAAAGAAAATAAAAAAGAATAAAATTTATCGTTGAGAATTTTCTTTAAAAATCGTAAAATTTCGAAAAATTCGAAATTTTTTTCACATTATTTCTCAATTCCTTATTTTTTATTTCTCAAAAAACTATATTTTTTTTCCAAAGTTTCAAAATTCCATTAGCGATATTTTTTTTTTCTCGCTAATTATTAATGCGAACTGGTGACCAAAATTGCCGCATGAATCGGATTTCCTTGTTTTTTATATTTATTAGTGGAGAGGAATTAGGAAATAGCGGGGCGAAGGGTGGAGGGGGAGGAGGGAGAGGAAGAGGACGAGAGATGGAGGAAGAAAAGGGCAATTTCAATGAAGCTTTGTTATTTATCCATTCTCGTGATTTTTTCTCTTTTTCCATTGTGATAAATTCACCTAGTTGAAAAAATATTTGCTTAATATTATTTGGCTTCTCGAATCATTTTAAACTACTTTCATATTCAGTGGGCATACGGCACTCACCGGGGTTTGAAGGTTTAGCAGGTCGTTAATATATCATTAGGGCTAATTCATGGAGTTGCAAAGAGGAACGGCGAGGTTTCGAAGAATTTTAACGCCTTAAAGGGGTTTCATAATACTGCATACAGTTCAGTTTGTAAATTGCCAATTCGATTTTTATCAATATCAATATCAATCGCAAGCGATAAGTATAAATCTACTTGGTGGACTAAGTAATTGCTACGGGGATTATGGAAGGGGATTTTAAAGGAGTGATTACGCTTTTAAGGAAATTCCTAGGCAACTATAACGGAAGTTATAAAGGAATTATAAATGAGTTAAAGGAGCACAATGGCGCTCGTAGATATTTCCAAGGAAAATATGGAATTTGAGGATGCAAAGAAAGTTTTTGACGAAAATTTACCATTTCTTGGGAATATCAAAGAGTTTATTTTTATTACGATAACTGAGCAGTTTGATGTTTGATGCCGCGGCCACTTTGAACATGTGTTCATCTGCTTATTAGCATCCCATTCTAACAACGTTGTTACTGGAAAGATTGGCTATACTGGCTACGAAGGGGGGAGGGGGGCTGGAAAGGGTGGGGATATTGGCCTTTCGGTCTGATGCCATGCCTAAAAATAGTCGAAACTTGTCGCTGTTTTAAACTCAAATATTGTTTGCACTCTGGACACCTATGAGTTTATTTAAAATCTGCTTGACCATGTTTCTATTTTTAATTGGATCTGCTTGGTCTGCATTTGATGCCACTTGTTCTAATGGGAGGCGAAGAATCTAAACAATGTAACCAGCGGTGGCAACAGTAAATAGTGGTTTACTGTTAAGTGCTAAGCTCTTATCATTTCTGATTTGGCTCGCTCCACAGGCTTTTAGTTTGTTAATGATTTGTTATTTTTATTGGAGTCGCTTTCTTGAAAACGACAATCCATGCAATAACCACTTGGCTCGTATTTGTCCTCAATAATAATAATAATATATGTTGTTTTTATTTTTTCTTATTTTTTTTATTCTATAATGTTCTATAATTTTCGCATTTTTCTTTGAAAAAACAAAAAATAATTCAAAATCCAAAAAATAAGCATAATTCGATTGGGTGGTAGTGGTACTTCGCTTAATTTAATTTGAGGTTTGATTCCTTTTTCTTGTTGGCAAGAAATGTGTTACATGGGCGCTACTGAGATCCAATTTTGTTCTTTGCCTCTCCTCAGTGATTCTCAGATCAAAGGATTTCATCACTCTAATGGAACCAACCAAATCAAATATTAAGAGAAGCAGTAGATTAATTTAAAAAATTTTAAAAAAAATTGTAGTGAAAAATTCATTTTTATAATTTCATAATTTTTAATTCTTTCTTAATTTTAGCAGTTTTTCATTTTTTTGTTTCATTTTTTATTTTGATAATTTTAGAAAAATTTTCAGAACTATTCGTAGAAAAATAAATAAAAATGTTGCTGAAAAATTGAAAAAAAAACGAGGATCTTCGCAGCAGATTAGCGTTTTGATGATTGAATTGGCTTATATGGAAATTGTGATAATCTGATAATTTCATGATTTTGATATCTTAAAAAAAAGAAAGAAAAAGAGAATGGTTAGTTTTTAATTTTTAATTTTTGCTTAAAAATTTAGTAATTGAGTTTTTCAGATGAAAGAAATTTTCAGATAATTCATTTTATTCTATTATTATTTATATGCGATGCTTCGTTAACATCATATCCATTTCTATACAACGATCGTTTTTCATCGTCATATGGTGCATTAACCAAGAAAGAAATCGAAAATGCAAAGCGAATCGCTCGTGAAATGTTCTATTTTGCCTATGATAATTATATGCAATTTGCATTTCCTATGGATGAATTGGATCCAATAAATTGTACTGGTCGTGGACATGATCATCAAAATCCGTAAAATTCTCATTTTCTTTTCTTTTTTCAAAATATATTTCGAAATCATCGACCATTTAGGATTTAAAAATAAAAGGATAGAATCTATAGAATTTCCGGATTTTATAACGAATAAATAAATCTATATCGCAAAATAAACAAAAAAAAATTATTCTCTTTTTTGCTTTTATAGGCAAAAATTTTTTTTATTATGAACAAGGACAATTGATATAAATTTTAGCAGTTTTTCATTTTTTTGTTTCATTTTTTATTTTGATAATTTTATTTTATTTTATTTTTTTGAATTTTTAAATTTTTTTTTATTTTTATATATTTTGTATTTATAGATCGAATTTGAATATCAATGATGTTTTGGGCGATTATTGTTTGACTCTGGTTCATTTCTTTTTTTTTTATTATTTTTGACGATTCATAATTTCATTTATTAGTTATATGTTAAAATTTTTTAGAAAAAATTTTTTTTTCCTTAAAAATTTCTCCATGATTTTTCTAAATTTTTTTTCACCACTTTTTTTAAAATTTAATTTCAGGTGGAATCGCTTGATGCTCTCGTTGTATTTGGAAATAAGAGTGAATTTCATAGAGCAGTCAAGCTTGTTATCGAAAATGTTTCATTTGAGCGAAATGTAACAGTTCAAGTTTTCGAAGCTACTATAAGGTAAATTGTTTATTTCTTTATTATCTTTAATACTAGAAATAGATTGTATAAATGATGTAAAAAATAACTTCAAAACTATATCAATAAAAATCTTACTAGCATATTAGGTTTTAAAGCTTTAACGGCTTTACTTTTATTCTAGGCTACTAAAATATCAGTTATTTGCTCATTTTTTCAGAGTGATCGGATCTTTGCTTTCCGCTCATTTGATTTTAACTGATCCTACCCACATGCTAGGCGATTTCGATTTGCATGGGTATAATAATGAATTACTTACATTAGCTCGTGATTTGGCAGGTCGTCTTTTATTTGCATTCGAAGGAACGAAAACGGGTTAGGTTTGTTTAAATGTTTTATCATTTTTTTTATAATCTAATTTTTTGTTGATTTTTCACTATAATAATTTACGTCTATTTCGTTTTCATGTAGCACATCATCAGGTTTACCATTTCCGCGAGTAAATTTATTGACTGGCGTAAACGAAGATACAATAAATGAAACTTGTACTGCTGGTGCTGGTTCATTGCTTGTTGAATTTGGAATTCTTTCTCGTTTATTGGACGATGATAGATTCGAAAGTTTGGCGAGGAGAGCTGTTGGAAAATTGTGGTCTTTGCGGAATAATGAAACTGGTTTGCTTGGTGGTTTTTTTCTTCAACTTTTTTTTCTTCAACTTTCAACTTTTTCTTCATCTGTTTCAGTAATTAATATTGAAAAACTCGGGCATTTTTTTTTGCTATTATATTTATCAGTTGAAACTTTATTATTATATAAATTCAAATAATTACAATAATTCGGCAAATATATATTTAAGGAAATGTGGTTAATATCCAAACTGGACAATGGAGTGGTGTAACTAACGGACTTGGTGCAGGTCTCGATTCTTATTACGAATATCTCTTGAAGTCCTTTATTTTATTTGGAAATCAAGCAGATCTTGATCATTTCAAAGTAGTATAGCTTTACGTATCATTTCGCATAAAAATATAATTTATTTGATGACTGTCTAAAATAAGTCGATTTCAACCAAATTTTGAAGGCAGCTCAAGAATCGATTATGAAACATCTTCGTCGTGGACGAGAAGATTGTGTTCATGGAAAAGGGGAACCACCAATTTTTGTTAATATTGATATGAGAGATGGGTCGATGATCAATACATGGATTGATGCTTTGCAAGTAGGATTTTTGATTGTTATAAGAGTCTTTTGGCATCATTTCCATGAAGGGCTTTGAATTATTTCTTCTTCTTTCAGGCTAGCTTTCCTGCATTATTAGTTTTAAATGGAGACGTTGAGGAAGCTGTATGTCTCCATGCCTTGTTTTATGCGCTTTGGGTGAAATATGGTGCTCTTCCGGAGCGATATAATTGGTTTTATAAGTTAGATTTTATGTTTACCATTTGCTAAAAGTGTGACGTAAATCTATTATTTTATTTTCAAACACAGTTTACAAGGATGATTTTCATATTGATAAATTGAATTGACAAAAATTGACAAAAAAATTTTATCAGTTTATAAATATTTTTTTACGATTCATTTACGAAAAATTGCAGGAAGCCAGACGTTTTTTTTTACCCGCTTAGGCCGGAGTTAGCCGAGTCAACATATATGCTATATCGCGCTACGCTGAATCCATTTTATCTGCATGTCGGCCTTGATATTCTTTATTCGTTGAATGCATTCACTAAAGTAAAATGCGGGTATGCTACAATTCATAATGTGGTTGATAAAACGCTAGAAGATAGAATGGAATCTTTTTTTATTTCGGAAACTGTGAAATACCTCTTTCTGGTGAGTTATAAGTTTTTTGCAGCAAAAATAATATTTTTCAGTAAGATTTGGGAAATCTTTTTTCCTATTATTTTTATTTTTTAATTTTTTGACAAAAACTTATTTTTTTAAAGAAAAAATTTATTTATTTTTATTTTAAAATTTAAAAATTTACAAATTAAAATTTATTTTAAGCTTTGCATTTTTTTTTTCAAAATTTCAGCTTTTTGATTTTAACAATGTTGTGAATCATAATGAAGTGAGAATATTATTCACTACAGAAGGTCATATAATTCCTATAAATGAGCGTTTACGAAAATCTCCGATAAAAATTTTTTCATCCGCTCCCCAAAATTCATCGTGTAATTATTTTCGTATCGATCGTGATCGTCCTCCTTTGGACGAATTTCGCTTCAATCAGATGTTTCATTTAGCGGGTATTCTATGAATTTTTATAATGTTTTTTCTTGTTTTTATTTAGTTTGTGCTTAGATGAATTTGTTAGCTTTTTAGAAAATTTGTTAGGAAATTTTCAGGGCATTATGCGTTCTTTTTTTTTTTTTTTTTTTTTTCACTGTGATAATTTCCTTTTTGCTTTATATGTCTTTCAGTAAAGTTTGTGCCTTCACTTCATTTTACCTCGTATTTATTTATTCGTATTTGTTTATTTTTCTATATTCTTTTCTATCTGTGCAAATGGTCATTAATTATTCACTTTTTTTTTTAAAGTAAATATTGGAATAAATATAAATATTGGCTTTATTGGTAGAAATATGGTAGAATAAATAATATTCATTGATTTTTTTTCTTTTTTTGTATGATTTCGCATCATTTTTGGTGCATTGACGACAGGCATTTGCAAGCACCGCGATTCGACCATATTTATGGTTTTAAGGTCTTTTTTCACCGAGGTTTTATTGAAAGCGCAATTATTTATTTATAAATTCGTCATCGACTGGTTTTACTTAAACTAATAAAATGTTGTACAATGATAAGGTGAAAAATTAGGATACCAATTACGCCAAAGCCTAGTGAAAATTTAGGCAGTCACTTCCCAATTTTTAAAGATTTAGGATCTTAACACGATTATCTGAATCTATCACTAAATTGCGGTTGTTCTTTAATTTCAAATGGCTGACAGCGATTATTAAAAAACATAAATCATATGTTTCGATTTCCGTTAGTGACTGGTCGGAGTGTTTTTGGTTTTCTGTTGGGAATGTTGTGAGAGTTTTTTTTGCATTTTTTAGAGCGAATACGCGATTTTATGAAATTCGCGGCGTTTCAGTCCCTTATGTGTCCAAAATGCGCGGTCATTTTTTCGGGATTCATTTTTTTATTTAGTAAGGTTTTAATTAAATTCACCGTGAAACTTTTGGAGTTTATCATTTGATAGCAAAATAAATTCGCTCTAATCCATTAGTTTCGGCGATTTACGATAGTTTATTATGCATTTGGTATTCGCGATCGTTTTATTTTCGGTTGTATTTCAATAATTTTTTTTTAGCGATTTTTGAAATTTTAATCGTTCGATCGCGATTTGATTTGAATCAAACATATAATTTAATTATTTTTTTCGTATTTACCTTCCAATTTTCTTTATTTTCTATTAATATTCGTTATAAAAGAATAAAAAAAATGATAAAATACGTAATTTTAAGAAATATTTAACATAATATTCTTATTCATAACATTAGCAATTTAGAATAATTCTGCTGGAAGCATTTAAGCAAAATAAAGTTTATTTTGATTTTATAATAGTAAATATAATAATAATAATAACAACAACAATAAATAATGATATTAATAATAATAATAAGGGGGGGGGGGGGGGGGGGGGGGAAAAAGGGGGGGGGGGGGGGGGGGGGGGGAGGGGGATAGAATGGCTGGGTGAGTTGTTTCGCAGCGCCGATGTTGAGGTTCTATTCCCCCCATGAGTAGATCTGTCCAGAAATCCGTATACTGGCTATACTCACCTACACTTCTTTCTTCAAGGGACTCCTTGTCATATTTGCCTAATGCAACAAGCCAGTGAAGCGAGTTTAACCAGTAATGGTGAGGGCTCTTAAAAGAATAAAATAATAAAACAATAAGTTGTAATTGCTTATACAATATATACTAAATATCCACAAGAAAATGAATAATGGCGCACTGAAAAATACGAAATGATCCAAAGCGCGGTCAAGCTATGTCCTCAAATCATAGGGAACATAAGAACGCCTTACTTTAATAAAATTTCAACAAGTTCTCAATATTTTTCATATTTTGAAGGGTTAAATTTAATTTGATTTAAATTTAAATTTAAAATTTGCAAGTATATGATATAATATCTCATGCATGGAATTATGAGGAAAAATTTATATGCGAATAAATAAATTTCATTAAAATGGAATTATTTCGCTTATAGGAGGACGATCGCTAGGTTTTCGCGAATGGTTTTCACTGAATTCTTTCCTTTTTTAAAGCATAAATATCTATGGCGATTTCTTATGAATAAATTTGGATAATTTAGGTTTTTCTTCTTAATTTTCAGTATTTTCGTTACAATGGAAGCTGACGATTCTTTTGATTTTTTATTTAAAATTGTTTTGATTGGTGATATGGGTGTCGGTAAAACTTGTGTCGTTCAAAGGTATTTTTTGTGAAAATTTTTTTTTCTGTATTTATTTTCCAATATTTTTCGATATTTTCCTATCGAATTCTTTTATAATCTTTTCTCCATTTTTTTACTGTATGATACGCATTGTGCGGAAATCAATACGGAAATTACTTCAGTTGAAGATATAACGCAGAAATGTAGTAATATAAGTATTAAATAAAATATAATATAATAGTGATAAAAGGAACATCATCGTTTATAATTTATAGATTAATTTTTTGTGCACATTCGGGAATAATATTAGTTGTCAGTTAATATAATATTTATTTATAGAAATTTGCAATTTGTTAATTTAGATTCAAAAATGGTACATTCTTTGAAAGGCAAGGAACTACTATCGGAGTGGATTTTACGATGAAAACTTTGATTATTGAAGGAAAGCGTGTCAAATTACAAATTTGGGACACAGGTGGCCAAGAACGTTTTCGAACTATTACACAAAGTTATTATAGGTACTTAATTGAGCTTTCATTCATAATATATTGCATTTTAAATGAAAATGAAAACAAAAGATGGCTTCATTGAATTGTTTATATATTAGGAAGGCTTTTAAGGTAAAATACCGAAAGTTAAATTGTTATCTCTTTATCGGTTTGTTTACCTTCTTGATCCTTCGTGATCCTTTGTTTTCAAAATTCTTTTCACAAAATTCTTTTAAACTGTTTTTGTAAATTGTTTTTTCAGGTCTGCCAACGGTATAATTCTTTGCTATGACATGACTTGCCGCCAGTCATTCGAGTCGCTTCAGCGATGGATTGATGATGTTTCTAAATTTGCAGTGCCTAATGTTTTTAAAGTCTTAATAGGTGCTTATTCTATTCAGTTGTTTTAGTCTTATGTTATTTATTTTTTTATTTTATTTAACTATTTTAACTATTTTATTTTGCTTTTCAGCAACAAAGACAGATTTAGAAGCAGATCGAGCCGTTGAAAGTGAAGAAGGTGAAGATTTGGCACATCTGCAAGGGATGTGTGGTTTCATTGAGACCTCTGCAAAGAACAATCATAATGTGGACAATGCTTTTCTTGAATTAGCTTATCAATTAAAAAGGCATTATGAGGCCGGTGCACAACTTGACACACAACAAGATGGCTTTAAACTTGCATCGCAAGGAACTACAAATATTTCTTCTAGGTGGTCATCATGTTGTAATTTTTAATTTACTCGATTTTTTTTTATTTTTCAATCATAGGCGTCGAATTTTATTTTAGAGCGGGATTTTTAACTTAATTCGCGCAAAACTGCTATATTGCTTTTTAAATGCTCCTTCATATATTTATTTTATGTATTTAGAGGCCTTTGGATAAGCTATTTTTCTTCCATTTCTTCAGACTGCTAGAGGATGCTGGCATAAAAGTAGTTAAAAATCCATGCTTTAGAAAGTTTTGAAGCTTTTTATTTTTGGTTTATATATATATATATATATGTATTTAACTTTGAGAATGCCATTAAGAATGAAAATTTTAAATATTAAATCTGTTATCTCGATCTGGTCAACGATTAAGAATCAACAATTTTGTGATATGGAAATATATTGATAATCAAGTTTTGATCTTATGCAAATTTAATCTTCACGACAGAATTCGATGACATAATCTGCCATTAATTTTTGATTCATTTGTCATTAATAATAGCGTGCCATAAATATTAATTTTATTTACAATTCTTACAATTTATTATCATCTTTATTACGAAAAATTTTTTGCTGAAGTTCTGTGTTAATAATTTTTTTCATAAGATACCGTAGATATATGAAATTTTTTATTGTTTTTCATGTGTTTTATATATATATGTTTTTTAAAATTTCATATGTCAATTATAATTAATTATTTAGTGCTGTATTTATATATTCTGCTTTGTAAATGGAGAATAATTCAAAAAAGCGTGGAAAACGGTTTTATTTCTCGTTAGTGGTTGTTGCTTTTTTTTTCCACAAAAAATTCATGAAATCCGAGATATTGCTTTGTTTATTTATTTCAGTATTATTTTAAATGTGCATGCGATCTATATAGTTTTATCTCATTCAATAATATTAGCTTCATTTTAATGTTTGGTGCTATATGAATTACATTGCTAAAAAAATTTTCTAGATTTTTTTAAAAAATAGAGATTGTAAATGAAGTGAACTAGTGAAATTTTGTTTCGATTTTTTTTGTGCGATATTTTATATTTAATATATATAAGTAGTCATTTTTATTATTTCTAAATTTTTGAATTTGGTAGCTTGAATAAATGAATTTTAAAATATAAAGTTTATAAAATTTTGGTAATTTTTTGAAGTGGATCACCAATTCTGTTTTTCAACAATTTTTTTCTTGGAAATGTTATTATTTATTTGAAAATTTTAATAATCGTTTTTTAATTTTTAATAGTTTTTAATTTCAAGTATTGGGATTTCAACCTGGTTATGAACTCGGATGTAACGCAGGCAACAAGAAGTTCAAATAACGTTTATACGAGTCTTTTCAATTTTATTTCTTCGTTAGTTATTTAGTTATTTTTCTAATTCTTTTTTTATAATTGTTGAAATTTTTTTAAATTGTTATTTCTTTTTTAATTATAATTTTTCTTTTTTTTCCATAAATTTATAAATTCTATAAATTTTAAAATATGATTTTTTATCAGCTCTTTTTTTGTTTCTATGCTTTTTCATCTTAGAAATTTGTGAAATTTATTAAAGAGTTTCAAGGTGTTTTATGTATGTTTTATGTGTTACAGATTAGAATAATTGAAAATTAATTTTAGCGTAGAAAAAGGCAACAATTCAGATACTGCTGTTAAATTAAGGCATCTTGAAGCGTCTTTAGAACAGCTAAAAGATTCAATCGAAAGTATTGTTGATATATCAAGGTCAGTTATTGTTCATTATTTGATAGCAAATTTCATTTATGCGTTATGATTTTCTAGAAATCTCTCTCTGTCCATATATGTCTTTTCCTTTTGAATGTACTTTAAATGATTGTTTTAAGGGACGAAAATTATCAAAGTGCTAAAATAGCTTCGTTAAAATCTCAGTTACAATTAAAAGACTCTCTAATTACTTCATTTAAAAAAGATGGATGTCCAGTCAGTCGAAACTAATCAGGTATTGATTTTTTTTCTTTTATTTGTTCAATAAAATTGGTACTACATTGGAATTTATGATTGAAATTTTTATGAGTAGATTATTGCCTGAGCTACGCCATGATTTTCAAAAAATGAGTATTAAAATGCAGGAAATACTCGATTAGCTACATATTCTGCTTAAATTATGGATCCAAATCCAGTATTTTTTTAAAATTCTCCTTCGAAATAAAAATTGATTTCAGTAAGCTTTTTAAATTTTAAGAGTGATCAAGTGAAGGAAAAAAGAACGAAACTCGTATGTGTTAGATGCAAATGTGTGATAATTGATTCGAATTCCACGAAATTTACAAACGATAAACCTTTTGATTTACCGAAATGTGAAATGAAAAATTCGGTTGATATCGAGAAGGAAATGATTATGCATTGGTTTGTTTTTAATGCTTAGATTGATTGACCAGTTTTTTTGCTTTAAGAGGAGAAAATTATAAATTTTGGTAAATTGATTGAATCTTATATAATTTCTGTTGAAGGGATTTCAACTAGATGAATTAATTTGAGTGGTGGCATTGAAGATTTACCGTTTTCTTTTTTCCCAGGTGATTCTTTGATGAATAGTTACTTCTTACTTCAATAATTAGTGGAATTAATGTAAGAAACTGAAAATTTTTAATACAGAGCAATGTCGCTTCACAGTGATCATTTATATATTTAGTAAATCTGCAGTGTTCAAATTTATAATCTTGAATATTTACTTATAGGTATATAGTTGAATCATTATTTGAATTTGACAATATTGGTGTAACGAATCCTGATGGTGGTGTTAAATATTTGGCATGTTCTGAATGTGAGTATGGACCGATTGGTTTTTACTGCAACGATGCTCTTCATTATTATTTGGCCGCAGAAAGAATCTGTCTTAGCAATTGCTAAAAAAAAAAGGCGATGATCGATTGATATTTTTGGTGATAAAAATTTTTCAATTTTCAATATTGTATTTATTTAAGCCTATTCTTTCAAGCTTACTAAATGTTTATTGGTATTTCTTTTTTATAAATTATATTTTTTAGTATTTTTCATGATTAATCATTTCAAAATTGCGCTTCACTGTACAATTTTCATTTACTTTTGTTAGATTTTTTTTTTAAAAAGATTTCTCATTATTATCATTCTTTTTGATTTTTGATATTGTCACTAATATGCTTATTTATTTTTACTGAAGTCATATCAAGTCGCTAAAAAAAAACCTTTGTTTTCCTTTTCGTTTAAACTCTTTCTATTTCGGATTAAATATATTCCAATCAGTTGTTCGAGAAATAGTTTGAGGTAAATAAAACGTCCAAATTTTGTCAAGCACCAAGTTTATCATTTTGCAAAAAAATATCAAATTTTTATTTTCTATAGAAAAAATTTCATTTTTTATTTATGTATAGAAAATAGAAAATTTTTAATATGGATTTAGTATAATTAATATTTGTATATTTGTATAATTTTAGGCCTAGCGATAGAAGGATGGAGGTGGATCGCATTTAGCACTAGCGTCGGTATAAGTTACCCGTCTATCCTCATCCTCAAACTATGTGGGTAGATTGATTGGCTGGTAGTATGACCAGGTTTCTTTGTTAAGGAATCACTTCTATAGAAAGGAAATATAGAATTTTAGGGAGAGGTTGTCACCACCAGCCTTATTTTTTATTGGTGGCAGAAAACGAACATATGCATTTCAATGTATTAATTTGAACCATTGTACACAATTGCAGTCGTTAGTATGTCATTTATATTAAAACTTCAATTTGGCCAGTGTTGTCTTAAAATTTTCAGGGTATAGTTTCTTATCTTCTATCCGGATTTCTTGAATGGCCAGTGAGCAAACAGCGATTCCACAGGTGATTTGGATTCTTTGGTTCTTACTTCCATTTTGAATTTGAATAAAAGTACCTGTTCATTTTCTGGTTATTTCATGATTTTAAACTGTTGATTAGTGAGATTTTTATTTATGAGCCATTTTTATTTGTAGAATATCAGCAGCAGTGTTGAAGAACCGCTGGATTTAATTCGACTTAGTCTTGATGAACGAATTTATGTCAAAATGCGCAATGACCGAGAAGTAAATTTTTTTATTTATCCGGTTTATATATCATTTCTAATTCTCATAAGACTAACTATTTTTAACTCATTTAATCTCTCTAATTCAGATCATTTATCAATAGTGAATATTGTTTCATTCAATTAGTATGTTGAGAAATAACCGTTCCATTCAGTTTTAGGTCATTTTTTCTGGAAACAATAAAATTGAAAATAGAAAAATAGGTATGGAAAATAAAAAATAAGATTGAAAAAGTAGAAAAATTTTTCTTTTTATTCTTGGCAATACTTATCAAATTTTTTCAACATTTGATAATTTTATCAAATTCTGTTGGAGTTGGTATCCTACCTTTCATTTCTTATTCTTAGGTACGGGGAAAACTCCATGCGTTTGATCAACATTTAAATATGATTCTTTCACAAGTAGAAGAAACCGTAACAACAATCGAGTTGGACGAGGAAAATTTCGAAGAAATGCATAAACAAACGAAACGACAAATACCAATGTTATTTGTTCGTGGCGATGCGATAATTTTGGTTGCACCACCACTAAGGCATATTTAATTTCAATTTATTTTGTTCCATTGTTTTGTATTGTTTTATTTAAATTAACTAATAAAAATAAAATTTTTTTTTTTCAGTTATACTTTGACGGTACTAAGTCAATTTTTTACTTTATTTTATTTGCAAATTCTTGAAATTAATTTTCAAAAATTTATTTTCTACATTTATATTTTTTCAATTTTTACTAATTTTAATTTTTTAAAATCATTAATTTTTTTAAAAAAGCTTACGCGGAAAAAATTTTTTTATTGAATATTCACTAAAATATATCGTGAAATATTTTATATTTTGTTTTTTTTGGAAAATTCTTCATTGTCGCAACAATATTTAGAACGAATTAAAAGATGAAATGCCGTTGCATTCTTAAATTTTCTCGGATATAAAATTTCAAACGTAAATCACTTTTTTTTCGATCTTTGCTGATCATTATTGGTAATAAATTTTGATAAAAGTTTTGATAAAAAATAAAATATTTATATACGAATATTTATAAAATATTTATAGAAATTATTCTCGTTTCTCAATCATTTATCTAATTCATAATGAATAAATATGAAAAAAATCATAAAGACAATTCCAAAACAATTTTCCGAAGTTTTATCGAAGGGAAATTCGAAAATTGGAAAAAGAAAATTGAATTTTTTACAAAATAATGAATAAATAAATATTGTCGCCAAATGAAAGTTTTATTTCGATGAATTTTGCGAAAAATTTTGAGTGAAACTGAGCAGATTGGCATTATTCTGTGATAAGATCACTCTGATGATTGTTTTTTTTCGAACAAAACTTAAGGCTTAGGCTAAATGTATTAATATAGGTTGGCTATAACGATTGGATGCCTCTAATTTTTTCGGCCGAATTCTTTTTTAGCCCAATCAATCTGGGTGACCTATTCGGTAGGAAGTCTCTTGGCGATAGAAGTACAAGAAGTGAGTGAGTGGCCAGCATCACCTGGATTTTCGGATAGGTTTTACTCTTGCACGGAATAGAAAGCAACGACCTATTGAGCCATTCCATCCTCGAAGAAAAATCTTTTTTGGCCAAATTTTTTTGATATTTTATATTTAATTTTTTTTACATATATTTTTTAATATTTAATATTTTAATTCAATCAATCGGAGTGATCAAAATCGGTACAATAATAAATATGTTGCACACCATAAATAGTCAATTCGAGAATTAGCGACTAATTTAGTTAGTAGCTCGAGCTCGAGAATTTTGCTAATATAATTAAATGATAGCCAAATTTTTATTTTTATATTATACATAATACAATTGGTCCCCACTTTTGCCGTTTCTTTTAAATTTATTACTTTTATAATAATAATGTTTTAATAAATTTTTATTCTATAAAAATTGATGATTGTTATATAAAAGAAGGTCAACGCTACTCTTATAATGGCTATCGAATAGAGGATAAAATCCGATATTATATGGACAAATTGCGATATTGGTGATATAGCAAATCCGTTATATGAGTTTTAGATCGACTTCGATTTGGGTTAACTTTCGATAATTACCCCTTTGATCATCATCATCATCATTAATGATTGAACTATTTTCAAATTTCGAATTGTTCAGTTGGAATGAATCGTCCGAGTGATGTTAGAGAGAAATAATAATGATGATAGCTTGACCAGTACAACTTTGTCATCCACTACATTGCCTTATTATGCCCTAATTCATTGCCTTTATCCGTTTTATATCCCTCAAACTAATAATTCATTATAATAATTTTCAATGATATTCATGATTTTTTGAGGTTAATTGATTGCTGCAATGATTGATTTCTATAAACTTTTTTTTATATGGTAATGGCCAAAATCATTTTTTATCTGCTGTATTTCCATTATTTTAATAATTTCTCTTATAAAAATCAAAGGAAATGATTTTGCATCCATCTTTGTTCAAGTACCACTTGCGTTTACAGTACCATAATAGAACGCCGTCTTCATTATTCGTTGCCCACCACAGGAGTTAATACATATTTCGTTACTTGCTAAACCCATGTGATTTTGGACTTAGACAATGGAAAAAGGAATGGCTTCTATTATCTGCCAGCGATGGCATATTAAACCGAATATTTTGGAGATGTCTTATCCTATAGCTAGCGGATCCAGTTCAATCAGTAATGGCGAGAGTTATTAAAAGAAGAAAGATAATAGAATTTCTATTTTAAAGAAATTATGCCTTAATAATTATAATTATTCTCAGCAAGAGAAAATTTGGATTTCATAAATTTGGATTTTTTTAGTTATTTACCTGCACTTCTATCCCTATATGACTCTTTGATAAAATTTCTTTAATCTGATAAGCTAAATCTAATTACAAGTGGTGCGAATTGTTAGATGAAGAAAAAAAATCACAATTTATCATTCACGAATTGAAAATGAGTGAATTTGGTGCAATTGAACCAGAACCTATTCCTCTAAACCTAAAAACAGCAATTAGCACTGATTTATTTGATTCACATCAAAAAAATAGACTATTGAAAATGTAATATTCAATTGATCATTTCCTTGAGATTTTCACAAATATTTTCACTGAAATCTTTTTTGAACACTGAAATTTTTGCAGATAAAACTCTCTTTTGGGGTTAATACAAAAAAATATTGCTTAATCTTAAAAAATATAAGTAACTAAATTTTTTTTCTCCATAAATAATAATCACTGATAATATAGCAAAAATAATCACTGAAATAATCATTTTTTTTTAACACTCAAATGTCAATTGTTCAAAATATTTTAAAATGAATTTTCAATCTCGAAAATTGAATTACATATTGAATATCAAAAAAAAAAAAATCACTGATAATTCGATCAAATCTCTAAAATATATATAATACGACAAATGCCAAGTTGACAAAGAAGAGAGGAAGACTGGTTGGTTGGTTGGTTGTTTGGATTACGGTGTGAATAAATAAGTTGCAATCACCATCAAACTTTTCATCATTCATCAATTTATGTCAATATACCAACGATTTCGATCAACGAAGCCATCTATCCATCATATCATTTATTCACATAGCATTTATTTCGTCTAATTATTTATTCTTTTCAATTTTCTTTCTAATAAAGTTTTGCCGAAAATTAAATATTTTCAATCAAAAATTCGGTTTTTTTTTTCTTTTTAGCTTAAATTTTGGATTTTCATTTTAAAATATTCATTAAGCGAATCATCAAAAATATAAAATAATTAGTTTACGAAATTTTTAAATTAATTTTTTTTTACGAAAAAAAAAATTAAATAAATCCTCTTAAATTGAAATTTAACGATACAATTGAAGGAAAAATCTAAATTAAAAAGTTTTACATAATATACTTATTGCAAAAAAAGCACAAATAAATAAATAATTTTTTGCAATAAATATCTCTATTTTTCTACTGCTTGTTAGGCTCGTTTCGTTAGCTCGTACAATTACAATTTTTGCCAAGGAATCATTTTTTATCACTCGGCGATAGAAGTAATTTAACGAACAGATTTACTACTCGTGTTGGATTTAGAAGCCCAACAATAGTGCTATGAACAACCCACTGAGCCATTCTATCTCTTTTCGATTTCCATTCATTATCTATCTGTCGCTTTCAAATCCGAATCAATCTCGATTCTCGTTAGCAGCCCTCTTATCACTCAGCTATTGCTATAAATTTATGAGCAAATTTAGGTGATAAAGAAAGGAATTCGAAAATAAAAAGTGGAAAAGCTTAAATAAAGAAGTTCTTCACTGAAAATTCATTAAATTCATTTAAAATTATTTATGCATAAAAATACAAATTATATATAAAAATATTTAATAAATATAAAATTTTATCATTTTTCTGCTCTTTTTTTTCTAATACAATTTATAATACAAAAAAAATGTAAATAAATAGAAAAATGGTTAACATTCATCATTTCTGATTTGACTCGTTCAATTGGACATTAATCGGTTTAATTGGACAATAATTTTAGTTCCATCACTCTAGTACAGAAGCGTAGATGCATCTTCAATGGATTTTTTAGTGATAATTCTGCTGCTATTGGTGACGAAACTAAGAAGAAACTTGCAATAAAGCCCCGTAAAAAAAACCCGTTTATTAAAAATCGTTTAAACGGTTAATTAGTTAGTTTATCAATAGTGAAAACAGTTCGTATTGATAGTGCATAGTTCTTAAGATATTTTTATTTGCTCGAAAAATTTGCCAGACAAATATTTTAATTTCATTTTCTATTATATTTCTAGTTTCATTGTTGAAAATAATATCTTTCAGAAAATCTATTGCATGTGTTGCACATGTGTTGCAACTGCACCGCACTTTCTATGAATGTTCTATTCGCAGAATTTTCTAAATAATTCTATCTGCACTTTTTTATTTAGAATTGATTTTACGTTGACAAAAAGGAATAATCGATGAAATATGTTTAATAATAAGAAATTAAGGTTCGAAGGTCATCCAATAAAAAAATTTTGTTTGTAAGCGGAAATGAGACGCGGCACATTACAAATTTGATTTAAAAAAAGTAAATAAAAAATATGAGAATCATCAGTAGGGATTCTAAAGGAAATATCAACACAAATTGACAACAGTTTTCACCGATAACATTTAATAAATACTTAAAATATTCGTGCAAATCCAAAGAAACAAAATTATTTTTGTGGTATAATAGTGTTTTTTTTGCAGAGGTTAAACTCGATCCGCTGTCTTGTCACATTCGACAAATATGCCAAAGAGTCTTTTGGCGATAGAAATACAGGTGATTCGCCAGTATCACCCGAATTTTGGATAGATTTACCCCTGTCGGGAATAGAACCTTAGTATCGGCGCTCTGAATTGAGCAACAACCCACTAAGCCATCCTATCTCTCTATAATAGTGAAGTAATATGATTGGAAGCGAATTTTATTCATAATCTCTCTTCCTGACGATACGCTTCGCTTTTCGAGAAGAGGTTAGGATAAGCGAAGAATTATTGCATAGATCTGGACGATCAAGGATCAAACTCTAATTCTAACGGAAATAAATTTACCATTCATTTGGTGCTGATTAACTGGATTTGATTTAGCCTAAACGATTTCATGGTAAGAATTTGCTAATAGTTATAACCTAGCCAAAAATATTGGGCACTACATCTTTTCCATTAACTGTTGAGCTTGTTCAACAGTTGTCCAGAGGACCACTTAGGAACGAAAAATACAGACATATACGGTTAATTTATAATTCTTTATAGAATAACTATAATGAAGAACGAGATAACATTTAATCGTTATACCCTTTTTCTTCGTTTTTTTCCCAAAAGTTTTGACCTTCAAATCTCACCATTTTTTCGCTAAATTTTTTTTTCTTTTCAATAATCTTTTTTTCACTAGCAGAAAAATTATCTGACCTTCGACCTTATTTCGATTGTCTTTTCTGCCATATAGTACCATTAGTTTCTTAGAATAACAGCTATTCTCCTACAAATTTTTCTGATTTCTCCTTCATGCTGGTTATATTTATCTGATTATCTTAATTTAACATAACTGATCCCTTTTAAAGGAAAAAAAGAGATGATCTTATAATAATCGAAATTTTCGAAAAATATCATTGAATTAGTGAAGGAAATTCCAAAATAATAAAACCGAACGAATGTAAATTTCTACTTTTTTAAAAGATATTTTAAATAAAATGCGGTTATTTTCCCAATAAAATAATTGAACAGTTTTACAATTTCTAAAGCTTTTACGATTATCATTGGGAATTTTAAAAATTTTGTTGCAATAAATTATAAAAATAAATTCAATTTTCAATTAGTGGTTAAAAATTTGATCAGATTATGTGAATTGGAAAGAAACAAATTGGAATTTTCAATTTTTCATATCTTCGAATTTTCAAAGTATTAAAAATTTTTTAATAAATGGGAAATTAATAAAAATAAAATAAAAATTTGAATTGAATGAAATTTTTTCATCAAAAATTGGTTTTTTGTACCAAAAGAATTCGCTAAATTCACAATTACAATTATATTATATTATACTAAATAAAAGTTATGCTAAAAATTAAAATATATACATATAAATATATATAAAAAAATTAAAATATAAATATATAAAATATTGAAATATAAATAAATAAATATACTTTTAAGATTTAAATTATTAAAAGTATATTTGTTTATTTGTATATGTTTATATTTTAATTTTTTTATATATATTTATATGTATATATTTTTAGTATAACTTTTATTTAGTATAATATATATAATTGTAATTGTGAATTTTTCTGCCAAAGTGACTTTAATATCATTTAGATTCTTTAAAAATATCGTTTTCAATTTAATTTTATCTTTAATTTTGGTTTTTTTAAATTTGATTCTTTGGTTTTCTTAAATTTGAATTTTTTAGAATTTCTTTTCCATGGGTTCCATGTTCACCATTTCTGGTTTAGATTATTCAGCTGGTGTGCAGCTGAAGCAGACAAATGCCAACGATAAAAATAGAGATGAGCCGCGAATATCAGCGGGATTTTTGAAAGATATTTTTTTCACCTTCTTGGGGCTACAATTAGATAAATTTTAACAGAAAATCCATTTTCAATATAGCGAAAAATGTTTTTAGACAAGAAATAAATCTTTTTTCCTCCTAAAGTACCAATTAGCGCTAACTGGAATTCCCATTTGTTTTGTTTTTTTTTTTACGCTCATTGGCAATCATTCATACTATTAATATTATTTATTGTAATTTCACTATTTATTAAATATCACTAATTTAATAAAAATGAAACTTTAGTCGGAGACAAAATCGCTCACCTATAATAATTTTTGGATTAACTTTGTCCCTAAATCTGACATATTTAAAAAATAAATGAAAATTGAAACTCGAAGAAAAAAAAATCAATGCGTGTAAATGGAATAAATACGATAGAGGCGGGGAATGAATCGATGAAGGTGGGGATTGACGTGGAATAAACCAATAAAGATGTAAGAATATTGGACAGTGGTGTGCATCGAAGCATTTTTTGGTGAATTTTATCGGCGATGGATTGCACCCTCTGGCAACGATATACCTATAATCCCGTTGTTATCTCTAATAATACTAATAATAATATTTATTCACAATCATTCACTAGTAAGTCAATTTTTTTTGCAGTTATTTTATTTTGCATATCAATATATTAACATATGGTACTAAGTAATTCATATGGTACTTACGTTACATATGGTACTAACATTGGTCATTATATCAAATGATCAAACATAAATAATGAACTAAGTATGATTAAAAATTTATTGACTCTGTGATATTAATTAAACTGATTGATTGTTGTTTATCAAAAAATCAGTGAAAAAAAAACTATTTCAAAGAGAGATTTTCAGTCTTTCAGTCTTTAAATTAAATTTTTTGAAACATTTTTTAAATTCATATAAATTTAGGCAACAACAAAGCTTCTCATTGATCATTTATTATTATTATTTTAATTATTATTATTACTATTACTGAAAAATTTTCACTATTTCTTTCAAAAATTGCTTTTTTTCTATGCTTATAGAGCTAAATTTTATTGAAAAATATTTCAATTAAATATTACTTTCCACCAAATATTTGAATTGTCTTTCCTTGGCTCAAAATAATTTTAACGATCGTTTGGTTTTTGCCAATAAATCAAAGCTTTTACAAAATTGTTATACTAATGCTACTTTCATCGAATATTAACTTAATTATAGCCATTATGTTTTATATAATATCGTAGAAAAAGAACTGTTGAAGTAAAACTAATGATTGATATAAGCATTCTCGCATTCTCGTACAAAGTTTTAGGAAGTAGAATGGTACTTCTTTCATATTCTTTTGAGAGAGCATCTCTTCTATGTCGCCTAGAGTTCTTCTATTACTGCTCTACCTGTGGTAGAAGAGTGTTGTAATTCAAAAAATCTAGATATTTCTAGTGATTCATCTGTAGTTTTACTGTCAAATAATTTTTTGTCTGTTCCGACAAGCCAGCTGAGCGAGTCTAATCAAAAATGGTGAGCGCTCTTATAAGGAAAATATCTTGGAAAATTTGAAGACGGTAGGATTTCTTTACTATTATTAGAATTATGCCTTTATTTTCAATCAATGCAAACATGCATTCGAGTAGTAAATGTCTCAACATCTACGACTTGAAAATAATTCTTATACTGGAATATTTTGGTTTTGATGATTTTAGGATTGAATAAAAAAGCTTATACCAATCATTGGTAAGTTTTTAACTCGGCTGTTTATGGTACTAGAGAATGATTTATTAATCAAGTATAACGGCAATCAGAAGTTGAAACTAAGTTTTTGAAATATTTTTTGTTTCAATAATCTTCTCAAAAAGTGATCAGATTTAATTTCATTTTTTTTATATTATCTCTTAAAAATTTCTTTTTATCAGGTTTTATCATAGATTTTTGTATTGTTTAGTAATGTTTGGGTAATTTTTCATTTCATTTAGATATGGTACCATTTCCTTTTAAAACACAAAGCCAATAATTATTTCTGCCGAAAATCCTTTTTCTTGCAAGAATCTTGCATGATATTTATTTATGTCATTTATTAATTCGATCATTTAAAATCGTTTTAACAAAAAAATATCCGAAAAACTGAATAATTGGAAAAATTAGATGGTCCATTAGATGGTCTTTTATAGTTATAAAGAATGAGTAAATTATATGAGCAGTTATTAGAGCAGATTTCAAAAAATTTTAACACGTTTTGCAAAAGCCCACTGAATCATAGAGCTAATATTCAAAGCATAAAAAAAACAGCTAACTTCGAAAGGGAACCACTTGCACCATAATGCACCAAAATATGTATAAATCGGCACTTTATGGTGACTTTGAAAAAATGCTTTAAAAAAATGAAAAAATGAAAAATGAAATTCAGAAAAAATTTGATGTACAACTAAATTAAGTCGGTTGATTTTGCATGTTAATTTATATTTCTTTCAAAAATACAGCGCTTTTTTTACATTTCAACGGCTTTATAAGATTAAATTGCAATAGCAATCTTCCATTATCATTGTTAAATCAATGATTTTAGCCAAATCTTACTGATTAAGAAGATAAATAACTATTTATATTTATTTTTTCATTTATTCTATCTGATTTTTAATTTATTCAATAATAGAAACAAACTGAGATCCTTTTTTTCTTATCAGAAAAATGTGATAAAATTATTAAAATTGTCGTTCATAGAGAAATTCTCGTTCTATTTTTCTATCTATCTTTGAGGAATAATTTTAGCAAATTTAAAAATTCGCTAGAAAATATTTTCTTTTTTAAATATTATTTTAATCTCATCTTTATTTTCTACCAATATTTTAAATTTTTACCAAGCTTTTTTTGATCTTGATTTTATAGTTTCTATTTAGAGATTATATTCAGGTCATACAGGGGTCAATCAACTTGGAGGTGTTTTCGTTAATGGTCGTCCATTGCCTGATCATATTCGCAATCGAATAGTTGAATTGGCTCATCAAGGCGTTCGGCCATGTGATATATCGCGTCAACTTCGAGTTTCTCATGGATGTGTATCGAAAATACTCGGTCGCTACTATGAAACCGGATCGATTAGGCCGGGTACCGATTAATTTACTTAGCTTAAAAGAATTAGAATTAAGAGAATTTTCCTAAGAATGCTTAATTTTATAGTCTTCTTATTAATAAAATCTATCTAAGATAAAAAGCATTGCACAATCGTTTAAACATTTTCGATAAAATCGTTTGTGTAAATAATTGTATTTTTAGGAGTTATCGGCGGTTCTAAGCCAAAGGTAGCAACTCCAAAAGTTGTACAAACAATTGCAGCATATAAGCGGGCTAATCCAACGATGTTTGCTTGGGAAATTCGAGAAAAATTACTTGAGGTATATTCTAAACATGGATCTTCTCTTTTGCTAATATTGGGTAATATAGAAAATAAGTATTCGAAAATTTTGATATTTTACAAAAATCTTGCTAACAATTCGTTGAAAATTTTATCACGATGGAACTAAGAGAAAATAGTTGAGAAAGCGAAGAAAAATCTATAGGAAGGAATAAAAAGGTTTTAAAAAATAATGCTATTAATAACTAAATAAACTGTGTTAATATTGGATTTGTAATTATTTTTTCTTCAAAGAAAGCTTACTATTGGGCTCATTCTACACTGGCTTGTTTGGCTAGGCGGATTTTTTTTTCCCACCGGAATTCAATAGGTGATAAATGATAACAGATGAGTTGTGAGCATCACTCGATATGAATTAAATTATTCATTAACTTGCTATTGTTGAATAATATAATTGATTTTATTTATTATTTAGTAAATATTATTATTTTTTATTATTATTTTCTAAATATTATTATTTTTCTATTAATATTTAGACAAAAACATTTGGCTTTGATACTAAATAGTGGAGATTCATAATACAACATCTGTTGTGTATGTGTCATTTATTTTTGAACATTTTAAAAGCCGAATTTAACATTCCAAGTGATTTTTGAAACAAAAATGGCCTAAGGAGAGAGAAATATGATTAAATTTGCTTAATTCTAGTAATCTTTTATCGTATTAGAGATAATAATAATCACCAGGAATATAGGATGGGTTTAATGAATTGTTGCATTCATTTTGGATGTTGAGATTCTGCTCTCGGCAGGAATAAACTTGTCGCTTAATCTCTTTTATCACCATGTGACTTAGTAAAATTTTGTCTTATAAACTAGTAGAGCGAGTCTAATCCAAAGCGATGGGTCCACTTCCAGAAAAAAATTAATCGAAGAGTAAATAATTAAAAAATAATTTTAATTTTAAGATAATTTTTTGTATTCTCTTTTTAATTGCATTTCATTCTCAGAGCAAACAATTTCGGACTTTGGCAAATAATTAATATTTAAAAATAAAAATGATAAATTTAAAAAAAAGATGCAAATGATAAGAAATTTAGTTAAAATTTTAATTTACTTTTAACTTTTTTCAAAGCTCCAAAAATTTGGCAAAATTTATTTTAACAAGGTATAATTTAATAAATTTAGCGGAATTCAAATCGAATTTCGTATTTCATACAGGAAATTAGGAATTATATTGTTTTCTTATATTTGTATTCATAAATCTTTGAATAATATAATGAATAGATCAAGGTCGAAAGAGATCAAATGTCTAAAGTTGCTTAATATTGTTTGATATGGATTTATTGTTGAAAATTCAAAAATTTAAGTTTTTCCTTCAAACATATTTTTACTATTAATATAATTACTTATTAATATTTATTTGATATTTATTTTTTAATATTTATTAAATATTTTATTACTAATTATTGCTTAATATTTATTTATATTCATTATATTCGTTTAAATGTTTATTTATTTATTAAAACATTTATTATTTATTTATATTTAATATTTATTAACATTTATTTAAAGTAGAAATATTTATTTATATTTAAAAATAAATATTTTTTACGTTATCTATGGATATTTTATATTTTTTTCGCTTGTAGCAAAAATAAACCACAAAAATTATAAAATAACCAGCGAAAAATTTTTTTTTTTCTGTTTTTTTTTTCTGACTGTATTCACTATTTTCGTAGAGCTTACTAGAAAAATTTTGCCAGCGAGTCACTTGGCGATTGAGGTACAACTAGATTCTCTTCTTCTTCTAATAACTCTCATCGCTACTGGTTAGGCTGGTTCCACTAGCTACAAGAGTATGACATGTCCTCCAAGCTGCTCGGTCTAACGCCAACGCTAGTAGTAATAGAAGCCATTCGTTTTTCCATTGTTTAAGTTCATATATCGCTGGTCCCCTACACGTTCAAAATCTTTCTTGACTGCATCAGTCCAGGTTTTGACTGATCCTCCTCGCTTTTGACGCCAACCATCATAGGGTTTAGCAATATGCGTCAACTCCTGTGGTGAACTACGGACGACATACCGCGACGCTCTATGATAACATTATTAAGGCAAGTAGTACAAGGATGCGATCATGTGCGATTTCATCCGCTCGATAGAGCCGTAATGTACCTTAGAAAAGAGTGATCAAGGGTAGATAGCTTCTTAATATCCTCCACTCTCACTGGCCACGTTTCGAAGCCATATAGCAAGATCGAACGAATTGCTATATGAAAGCGGATTTTCATCTTTATGTGATTTCGCGACGGTTCTATAAAAGTTTCGTCAACCGGAAAAACATATTTTTAGCTATCGTTATCCGATTTCATCCTTTGCCTGGCCATTTGGGATTAGGATCCAAAGTATTTAAAGTCCAGCACTTCCACAATTGCCAGTATCACACAAATTTTTAAAAGATACATTTTTATTGCTACCGACAATGGAATTTGAACTGCAATGCCTCGAAATGGTTATAATTCATGGAGCCGTTCTGCCTCAAAAACTTTTACAGATAAATTTGTTTAATTTATCCCATTTTGTTCGTTTTTAAAATATTTGCTGAATTATCACTATTTTCATGAAAATTTAATAAAATTTAAATTTCTGAAAAAAATTTGATTTAACTTTAATAAAAGCTTTAATAAAAACTTTAATAAATGTATAAAAAATATCGAAAATTTTTTTCCATTTGGTTACATCATTTGTTTTTGTTAAAAGAATTAATTAATTGGAAAATTTGAAAATTGAAAAAATTGAAAAATGATAAGTGAAATGAACTGAAACGAATTTTTTACTGATAACTTATTTCGTGGTGAATTTTTTTAGGAACGAATCTGTGATACGGAAAACGTGCCGAGTGTTTCCTCAATAAATCGTATTGTTCGTAATAAATCGACAATGAATCGGATTACCGAGCGCTCATTACATTCGACCTCATTTTTCGCACCAAGCACCCCATATACGATTAATGAATTACTTGGATTTGAGCAATCCTCTAAGGTATTGTTCATTTTAAACCAAATTCCAGGAGAAATAAGTAAGCAAAAATATGCAAGGAACATCTTATCCGAAGAACCAATTTCAAATATATTTGAAAATATATTTGCTTAATTCGCTTGAATAAAACAAATCTGATTCATTTCCTTAATTAAATTCTAAAATAGACTGATAAAAATTTTTGATAAAAATTGCCATAATTTTATCAGATTTTGAATAAAAAACATTTGGCTTTCTCATAGAGAACCAATCGAGCTTCATATATGAGCAAATATTTATTTATGATAATATTTATAATATTTATTTATTTATTTAAAATTCGAGAATTTCTTCAATGAAAAATATTTCATATGCAAAAAAAATTTTTATAGAGAATATTTTACTTATTAAAAAGCGCAAATCACGTTCCATGCAAATTCATTATCTGATATAATAATGTATACAAATTAATTTATTTAATGGCATAAAAAAATATTGTGGTTTTGTATTTTAAATAATTTTCAAAAAAAGATTTTTTTCTCATCGAGAAATTAACTGTTTTTTTTGCTAAATTTAACAATTCTACTTTCATTTCCTTTGTTCCTTTTGTAATGATTTTTTTTAGCATATGAATGAAAGTTCTCATATAACGCTTCAGGCTGGTGTTAGATCAATGAAATCCGAATTCTGTACACGTATCACTTCATCAGCTGGTACCATTTCTATTTTTATTTTTTCCCTCTAATCATATCAAAAAATGGTAACCTCTCATTTCTCCGTAATCTTTCTCCGTAATGGTAATTTATCTTTCTCGTTCGTCAAACTTCTATGAACTAATTTAGAGTAAAGAATAGATTTTCCATAAATTGTCGTATAAATTTTGTAAAAACAAATGACAACAAATGACAACTAAGTAATTTCTCAAAAAAATCAAATGTTTCTAAAGAAACAATGTTATAACTGCTAAATGACCATTACTTGATAAAAATATGATCAAAAATAGAATTATCCTACAAATTTGCCAATAGAAAAAATGCTACCAAAACTATGAATATAGCTAAAAATTTGCGCAAAACGAGGGATTTGAAGCCAAATATTTTAGTTAATTAATTTAAGACGAAATTGAATAAAACAGCGATTTGAGTGTATAATAATAATTATTCTAATTTGATACTTTCAAATTATCTTATTTGTTGTATTTTTTTCTTAAAATTTATAAAAAATATTAAAATATTATCAATTATCATCAAAAATATATCAATGAATTTTTTAATTTTATATGTGACAATGAATAAATCGTTTTAAAGTTGTTTCAAACTTCCTTTAGCGTATTTCCAATAGATTTTATCAATTTTTCATATTTTTGTGAATTATTATATTGATTTCTATAGAAATTATTCTATCTTAAAGCCACTTTTTGAATAAATAAATACGGTAAATATTTCTTCAGATAAAAGTTGGGAAGAAACAGGTTCTACCGTAGTGATGCCAACAATGAATTCACATGCATATTTCGGTTTCTTTTATTATTAAATTTTTTTTCTTTAGTAGAAAAATCTACTAAAAAATTTTTAAACATCATACAGTTTGCATTTTCCTTTTTTTAAAGAACCCTCATCATTATTGATTAGATTCACTCGACTGATTTGTCGAACAAGAGAAATATGTCAAGCAGTACAAGGCGATAGAAGTAAAAATGACAAATGACAATGACAAAAACGCCAATTTTTGAGTAGGTCTACTCCTGCGGGGAATGGAACCACAGTGTCGGTGCTTCGAATTGAGCAATAATCCACTGAGCCATTCTCTCCCCCCCCCCCCCCCCCCCCCCCCCCCCCCCCCCCCCCCCCGTCTCCTCCCTCCTACATATGTTATTTGTCTATATTATTTGTCGATTTTTTAGAAAAGTACTTGGAAAAAAAAATAAATTTTGTTGAAAAAATTTACAAGAACATTATTAGCTTAAATTCTTAATCGTAGAATCGTGGACAAATCCGATACGCACAACATCTGAATTATCGTGTTCGGGTCAATCGCCAGTCATCAATCATGTTTATATACCAAATCCAACTAGGCGAATTGAAGTATTAGCAGCAACTCAAACAGCAGCGGCAGCAATTCGTGAGAATGATTCAATTGCTCCAATTTCAAATATTTCGCATAGTATTTTAATTCCTCAAACCCGGTCAACTGAAACAATTTCTTGTAGTACAAATATAGCACTAACAAATCATAATACATCACAAGCACTTTGCCCATCAACAAGTAATATAAATGTAAATATAAATCCATTTTAATTATATTTATCGTATAAATGAAAAAATTTTAGAAATAATTTTATATATGTATTTTATGTGAATGCCAAATAAATTATGCGAGTCTCTTTTTTTCACCTTTTCTATTTTAATTCTGATTTCCTTTTAAAGCCCTTTAAAGCCTACTTGCATTCATTTGTTTTTGCGTCTTTGACCTCTTTTTTTCATGCTTAAAATTCGAGGAGTGGAACTACTAAGTTCCACTCGTTCGCCCCGAGGGACGCCTTGTTTTCTACGTTCAAATTAAGGAACTAAGGACCTCTGCTTTTAAAGAAAGAAAATTGGATGAGCAATGATTTAAGAATATTCTAAGCACTCATGCAAAAATTATGTAATTATGTGATCATTTAGAAAAGAATTTATGAAGCAAAAGCTTTTCGGAGGAAAATTTTTAAATAGATGCGGAAAAAGAAATGAGTAGAATTTAAACTAATAATTATAAAATTATATTCGCTATGAGAAAATCATTGTTATGCTGCTAGATATGAATATTGTTTTCGATAGGCAATAGCCTCGAATAGCCAACTTCATGCCGATTCTTGTTGAATTCGTGAGGATCACCGAAAGTCGATGGGAAAGCTTTCTAAATATTTTCGCGCTTTGCTTAAGGATTAAAAATTGATGGTTCAAGAAAAAATTTTTTATGGATGATTTTTTGGGTAGTGATATTTAAGTTAATAAGAATATAGGAACAAGAATTTTTTTATGTTTATACTCGATTTTTCAGTTCTTTTTCGAAGTTTCTCCTATTTTCTAAATTCCTAACCACCTAAACTTTTTCTTCGTTCACTCAGGCGAATTTTATCACTCTACTCATTCAATAATTTCACAATAACTTCTCTTTGTTATAGATTTAGAAAAATTGCAAATTTATTCCTTAATCAATTGATTCTAGGAATTACTTTAAGCCATTATATTAAATGGCCAATTCGTGAGGCTTTTTTATCAAGTTAGCATTTCATTTAAATCAAAAAACCACTCTAACCATTCTGCAAAATTATCAATTAATCATATCTTATTTTTCTGCATAATTTTGGCTTACTGAAATTGAATTTTTCATCGCAGAAAAATTTAGTTAATGGTTTTAAGGAGTGTTTTTATTAGTACCATATTTGTAATTTCATTTTATTTTAATTAATACTTAATTATTTAAGTAATAAAACAATTTCAATTTTCAAATTCGCAAGTTATACAAAATATCTTTAAAAGATTTCATTGTATGAAATGTTTTCTAATGGAAAACAAGTAAAATTGATTCATAAATGTAATTTTATCAAGTTATCAGCAAAATAATTTTTATCAGCGAAACTGTGATAAAGGTTTAACAATATTAAGAATAATCGAATCGAGATTACTTCACGCTTCCATTTTTAATTCAGTATTTGAAAGCATATGTGAGGTGACAAAAGAAGAGATACCACAATAGGAGTTAAGAGGATAATCGAAGTGTAATGGAAATATAAAATGTTAAAACTGGATGGTGTCTGATAAAAAAGCATATCTTTTCAATGCTGATATACTGATATGTCCATTCAAGTTGGTCGAATTGTATGTTGCCATGATTCAGGGCAAATACCATGGATTCGATTATTTGGTGGAATTAAATCAGCCAATAAAAGGATGACTTTTATGCGCCAATATTCACAAATGATCCTTTGGTAAAAGGAATCGGATTCTCGCACCAATTATATCAATCCAGAAATCAATTTTAAAATTATTTCTAAATATATTTTCGAATACTAATCGTTATTCATTTAACCAATGCAAATCATTTATTTAAAAAATAATAGAAATTCAATCCAGAAAATAATCTTAGTGGAAAGCGGAAAATTTGTGTTTCAAAAATGTTTATCGATTAATGAAGTATGTTTCTTAAAATGAGGAGAAAATTAAAAACACAAAGCGAGTTAAATTAAGTTAATGGATACGAAAAGCGAATACCACCAATATGCGCAATTACTTACTTAAAACACTCTAAGCAATAACGAGATTATCAAATTGAGGCAAAAATTTAGCTTTTCGGGGGGATTTCAACAATTTTACTTTTCATCTAATTCGAATTTAGAATTTCATTTTCAATTTAATGTATTGAATTTTTTATGAATTTGAAAATTTAGAAGATTTAAAAAGAAAAAACAAAATTAAAGTGATTAAAAGTGAAATTGTCGAGATCGAATTTTGCACATATTAAAAGTTTGGAATTTGGAATAAATTCACCAAATCGCAATAGCAATGATTTTTATTCGAAAATAAAAATAATAATATTAAATAAATAAATTTAAATAAAATTATATGCAAAATTTTTTAGCGTTAATGACTTTAAAATATGCAGAAATATATAGAACGAAATAATTGTCCATGGAAAACGAGGATCCAGCAAATAGGAAAATAAATGGCTAGCATTCAATATTTTTCGTTAGGCTCGCTCCACTGATTATCAATAGTTTACGATAATTGTTAGAGTGTTTCTTGCGAACGGAGAGATATAAATGGCCATCAACATCATCCGTGAATATTTTAAAATAAAAAATCTCGACGATATCTTCATATATGACCACATTTAAAAAGATAATTTTTAATACGTGATTGAGCAACTACAAATTGATATAAGGTGAATTTTTTATTTTTTTTGTGACACTTTTTCATTAAATCTCCTTCACATTGACATTTGGCTTAAGGTATTAATACTTAGATATAGTACAGAAGAAGAGACTAGAGATAGATCTAAAAGCTAGCATAATTCCACTTTAAAATCAACTATGCATGGAATTCAATACGTGATTGATAAATGTATATCTATTTCTTCTAAGAACTCGCTTCAGTGCTGTTTTGGCTAAATGAATTTGTGATTGAGGTAAGATTTTCTCTAAAACTCCTTATTCCAATGCCATATATATTCAATTTTTGTAAATTTATGAGTGAGAATTAATATTGAAGATTGGTGAAATTAATAAAAAAAAAAAAAATCTTCAATTTTGAAAATTTTCAAATGAAACGATTCAATGAACAAAATTGATATGAGCAAAAGAATCGACGAATCATGCATGCATGAGAATCGTATTTGTTTAATTATATTTGTTTATAGGTGAATATAATAAAAATTTTTCACCTTGAATTAGTACAAATAAAAAGGTAAAGAAGCTATTTATTCGCTTTTCGGCCTTCAAAAATATTTTATGCTCACCTTTGAAAATTTTTTCATGCAAGAATTCAAACAATTCATTAATTAATAATTGTGTTTTTATTGTTGTAACTAATATATTCTATATTCATAACTATTGTTCTATTATGGATTTTTTTTTTCTTTTATAAATTTATTGGTAAATTTTGAATTTATTTTAGAAAAATCTTCTTTTCTTTTTAAGAAAAAAAACGTGTAGAATAACTTTTCTATTAAAAAAAAACTTTTAGTATTTATGTTACTCTCATGGAAATAATTTAGAAATGTAAATGTAATTCGTTTAGGAATTTTATTTATTATTATTTTAGTGGATAAATGATAGTGGAATAGTTGTTTCCTCACATAAGAATTAACACTAACGAGGTCAACGAATATTTTCTGAACGGAAATGAATGTCCGCCTTTTCAAAGGTATTAATATGCGGATAATGCAATAACCGGTTGAACGAATTATACAACGATAATTTAAGCACTAATACACAATACGTTCATTGTTATATTAATGCTATTCAATTGAATTAGACGAGAATTAATTCATAAAACTGATTTATAGCGATTAATTTCTAAAAATTTTTAATAATTTAATTATTTGTAATAGCTTTTTTTTTAATATAAAATTTCTGAAAAAAATAAATCTTTAGTAAATTCTTTGGAAAGTTTCTATGAAAAAGGGAAAAAAACGACCGTTGATTAAATGATTTATTTGCGAAATTTAAATATCGGAATGAAAAAATCATGAAAATTCAATTATAAAATATTAAATTAAAATTGGTAATTAAAGAAAAATTAGCAAAAAAAAAGAATTTGCACGAATAAACCGAAAAGAATTTTTTAAAAAATCTTAAAATATTTAATATTTCATCCAAAAAAATTCAAATTACCAAAACCATTTATTTATTTATTTATATATTTTATTAATGTTAATGGCATAAGAAAAAACGCACAAGACGACAGCATTTTCATAGACCATCGCAGCGACCACACTTGGTGCTACCGTAATCTGGTTAAGGGGATTATAATGGGGTTTTCATAAGAAAAAAATTGGAAATGGTAAAGAAATAAGAAAGGTTAGAATTTTTGAAAAGTCTAAATGTTACGGTGTTTAGAGAGAAATTAGAGAGAGTTTAAGGAGATTTGAAGAGAATTTTGCATAGACGATATAGACGATTTGCTTAGAGGGATTAACGGAAATAATTCGATTTGATAAGGTATATTAAGGAGGTGTAAGGAGCTTGAAGATGAGTTAAGAGAATATGGTCCCCAACGGAATATCAATCTTGGCCTTAATCTCTTGGCTATAAATGATAATAATAAACAAATGTAAGTATTATAGAAAAGAAAAATTTATATCAAAATATTATTTCTTATCTTAAATTATTACAACGAGTTGTTACCACACACCTTAATAAAGTAATCAGTAATGATAACCAGTAGTGATGGTGATAATTTTTTTTGAACGGATTCGCAAGCTGTGAGAAATATAATAATTATAAAGAAATTTGTATTGATAATCAACTTTTTTTTCCTTAAGCTTGAATGTCACCTTAGTGACATTCCAAAATGCATAAATTCGAATGACGAAATTTTTTTTTGGAAAAATTAAATTTTTTGTAATGAATGTTATTTTAAATTTTTCAGCTCATGTTTGTGTACTATCTTTTCGAAGGGCGATGATCATTTATAGATGATGGACCACCATTATTCGGGTTTTTGGAAGACAGGCCAACTCTTGCAGTCTCTCGTGATTAGAATCCCAGCATGGTTACTCGTGGAATAAGAGCAACAATGTTTTGTTAAGATCCTTGGCGAACCATTCTCCCTGTATGCAATAAAACCACAA